CAATTCCTAAATACAGTGAAATTGGTCCGTATTGTCTTTGTCCCTGTTGATTACCATCTTGTGCACAGTGCACATTGTGGACGGTGCTGAATTACGTGCGATCTTCAAGCTGGAAACTGAACGTACAGTGTAATTAGTCCTCTTACGACAGAATATCCCTTGAATCTACAAATCGACTGTCACTGGTACATTCTCTTCGTACCTCTGCAGTGGCCCGAAGAACTTGTTAACATGATGGCATCCTCCTTTCAGATTGGCAGATGCACAAGGTTAAACTTCTGTTTGCCTGTAGATTCTTCAGCCTAAGCTGTGCAGCTTAATTATAAGGTCTCAGAATTTATGTCTTCAATTTCTGTAAATGGCAAGGAGAGATTATCCACAATGGATGTCGGAGGGAATTTATGAAGACGCACTTCAAAGTGCCAAGTCCTTCATGTCAACCATGAGAAATGACGACTGTGAGAATGAAGTCGGGTAAGAGGATAGGTATCCGACCATCGATGGTATCGCAAGTTGGTAGTGAGCCATGGTGAGTTGCCTTGAGCTAGCAAGGAAATTTCCGGTAAGGACACATCAATGGTACAACTGTTAACATGATATCAGGAGTTGAGATTTTAGTGCTGAAATATCATCACGTGCCACTTTTTCAAGACGTAATTGCGGACTTTTGTCTGTAATTTTGCTTAAACTTAGCCAGAAGGTTAGATGAAGAAATCGCACGAACTACAACAAAACACATCAACCTCGGGTTGTGATATTGGCAAGGATAAATCGTTAGTGTTCACTACATTAGCTTACTTGAAGTGACAGCACTTGCTCCTATTTATGACTGCAGCAATATAGAAACAAACCATGCCATATAAGCATCACTAAGGGTCAGAGGCGCGAAAACGGCAGACGAAAGCGGATACATTGGACCCAAGGGTCCGAGTCTAGAGGAGACTTCTTTAGCTTTACATGTCGATATGTCGGAAATGGCTTGACGAGTTAGCATACGAAGATCTTGACATTTCAATCATCCGAAGAAAGTGGATCTGAATATACCTCAGAAAGAACGAAATATTGCTACAACTTTCACTTGATAACTACGCATGCCATTAATAGTTATCAATGGCATGCGATGAAGACTAAAAGACGTACATCCAGATGATACACATACATGATTCATCCGCACTCTTACCAGATCAGAGATTCAGAACTGATTTAATGGTTTCTGATTACATCTTCTAATTTAGTATGGAGTCCAAAAAGAATTTCAGGCTAAATCTGTAAGCCAAAATTCTGAAATGGATTGCATTGTTACGAAACTTTTGGTATACGTGTCCAAGGGATCACACTGACCTAGACTCTTGGCCTCCGGATGATCATCCTTAAATGACTTTCTTAAAATAACAAGAAAGATGAAAGAAGAAGTTGCTGGCCTAGCCAACCCCGACACCCTTGGACTTGGGATTATCTTACTTCACTACTTCTTGAACTCATCAACAAAGATTAACAAGTCACTTAATGGTCTCTTCGGTTAGTTTGGATCTTGTAACCGGACATACATTTATGGTACTCTTGCTTCTTCCGTTGAGACTTGGCAATGTAAGCAATATTTTCAACTTGGACATATCTTTTCATTTCTCTTCTCTAGCTTTGCCAACCATGGCAACATCATTGCCATTGGAATGATCTTACTTGAACCACTTTTTGATCTCATCAAGAAAGATCAAAAAGTCAATTGAGGGCCTTGCCAACCACGGCAATATTTTGACCTCGGGGTGATCTTTCTTAAACGAATTCTTAATCTCATCAAGAAAGATGAAGAACTCAGTTCATGTCTCGTTTGTTGCTTTTGATCTTGTAAGCTGGAAAAAGCCTAATTGTACTTTTGCTTCTTCTGTTGAGCCTTGGCAATGTAAGAAGCATCTCCAAATTCAGGCATGTCTTTCCAATTTTCTCCTTCGGATTTGACAACCATAATGACAACCTTTGCCTCGGGATGACCAAGAATGTCGCCATGGGTGGCAATGCCACCAACGGTGACATTCTTGGTCTTGAGATGATTTTTCTAACTTCTTGAACTCATCAAGAAAGATGAAGAAGTAAGTTTTTGCTTCTTCTATTGGTTTTGATCTTGCAAGGTAACATTGAATAATTGCACTCCTGCTTGTTCTATTGAATCTTGACAATGGAGGTAGCGTTTTCAAGTTCACACATGTCTTTTCATTTCTTTACTTTTGCTTTGTCAACCATGGTGACATCCTTGGTCTTCCTTCAACGACTTCTTGAATTCATAGATGAAAAAGTCAATTGATGGTCTTGCCAACCACAGCAACACTCGTGATCTTGGATTATCTTCCTCAAACGACTTCTTAAACCCATCAAGAAATATGAAGAAGGCTATTGGTGATTCTTCTATTGATCCTGAACTGGTAAGCTAAAATAAATATGTTGCATTTTTGCTTCTTCTATTGATACTTAGTAATATAGCAAGCTTTGTCAAGTTCAGACATGTCATTACATTTTTCTACTTACGAAGATAGAAAACCACAAAGACATTCTTGTTCTTAAAACAATTTTTTCTAAACTTCTTGAACCCATCAAAAAGATAGAAAAAAGTCTATTTGTGGTTTCTTTGTTTGGATTTGATCTTGTAATCAGACGTAGATTTATCCTACTCTTGCTTCTTCTGTTGACTCTTGGCAATGTAGCAAGATTTCTCAAGTTTAGACATGTCTTTTATTTTTCTCCTTTGGCTTTTCCAACCACAGCGACATCCTTGGGCTGAAGATGATTTTACTTAAATGATTTCCAATGTATGGAGTCTTCTCAAATTAAAACATGTATCCATTTCACTACTTAACCTTTCCCAATCACGGCGATATTTTTGGCCTCAGTATGATCTTCCATAAACAAATTGTTGAATTCATCAAGAAAAATGAAGAAGTTTTTTGATGGTCTCGTTGGTTGGTTTGGATGTTGTAGGATGAACTAATCATACTTTTGCTTATTATGTTGAGACTTTTCAATGTATCGAGCCTTCTCAAATTCAACACGTCTTTCTTTCCTTCGGCTTTGCCAACCACGGCGACACCGTTGGCCTCATGATGATCTTGCTTAAGCGATGAATTGTGTAACTCATCAAGAAAGATGAAGAAGGCAGTTACTCTTTGGTTGGTTTTGATTTTGTTAGTTAAAATGTACTTATCGTATTCTTGCTTTTTCTATTGAATCTTGGCACTATAACGAACCATCTTAAGTTCATACATGTCTTTTCGTTTCTCTCCTTCGACTTGGCAACCACAGCGAATAGACTTGATCTAAGGATGAAATTACTTGAACAACTTTTTGAACTCATCAAGAGAGATGAAAAAGGTAGTTAGTGGTCTTGCCAATCACGACAACATTCTTGGCCTTGGAATGATTTACTTAAACAACCTCTTAAACTCATCAAGATAGATGAAGAAGTTTGTTGATGGCCTTGCTAACCACGGCGACACCTGTGGCCTCAAAATGATCTTACTTAAACAATTTCTTGAACTCATTAAGAAAAATGAAAAATACAATTGATGGAATCTCAATTGGTTTTGATTTTGTAACCTGACATAGACTTATCGTAATCTTGCTTGTTCTATTGAGTCTTTGCAATGTAGCAAGACTTCTCAAATTTAGACATGTATTTCCGACTTTGCCAACCACAACGCCATCCTTGGACTCCTGATGATATTCTTTGAAAGACTTTTTGATCTTATAAGGAAAGATGTCGAATGTAGTTGGTGGCCTTGCCAACCAAAGATACAACTTTGGTCTCGGGACTATCTTCCTTAACTTGACTTCTTGAACTCATCAATAAACATGAAGAAGACAATCGATGGGCTATTTGGTTGGTTTGGATCTCGTAGACTGACATAATACTAATGTTGCCTATTCTATTCAACCTTGGCAATGTAGGGAGACTTTTCAAATGTAGACATGTCTTCCCATTTCTCTCATCCATTTACAACTCGTCTGTTGCTCCAATCAGGCGAAAAACTCGAGGTGAAACTGCTACAATTGAACTTGAAACAAAGAGAAACCATCATAATCATTACACTACATGTGAGAATCTCAGTCGTGTTACTTGGGCAAGAGGTCCAGAACAAAAGCAATCCGACTTGAGGCACGTAGTGGAGGATACTGTCTTCTCCTCATCGAAATCGGCAGCACCCACAATCTTGGGCTCCGAAGGTAACCGTTTGGATTTAGCTGGTCCTTTTGACTTCTTCCAAATGAAGTCTGTGTTAGATAAGTAAGATAAGGAACAGTCTCATCATCATTGTAGCTGTGATCGTTCAGAATTCTGTCACATTCTTTAGAAACTTTTGCCACAAGAATGCACTATGGTGTTCCAATCTTCAGATGGTAGATGCTTTCGATGGTCCATTCGATGGCAAAAGGTTCAAAAAAAGTGACAACAAAAGTCGGTCGGGCTTCTTTGAGTTCCCAACATGAGAATTGCACGCAGTTTGACTCGGCATGGCACTAGAACTCACAAAGCTTCGCGAATGCAAGTCACATGATTGAAAATAATATTCGCGAATGCAAGTCACATGATTGAAAATAATATTCCGAGTCTGAGATGCTGTATCCATGCAAGTCTCATGCTTCCAACCCCGAAGAAGTACCCATCGCTCGCTATCGATCCTTACGAAAAGAAGATTAGGTCCTTCTCTCGACCTGCCTCAGCCCAAAAGATGAGCCAAGTGCATGAACAATGATGATGTGAAAGCTACTTATCAGTTGATCTTGCCTCCAACCATCACCTGCAAACTTCAGAACTCGAAAGCTGCTCTCCTGTCACAAAACGGTTCGATCTTCAAATGCCCGCACCACTGCCCGTCGCTTAGCTGTTGTGCTGTTGGATTGAGAGCTCATCTCGTCAGAACGTTCCAGATTCGAACTTTTGTATGTGGAATCGAATCCTTAGGTGTCCAAAATTAAAATCAGATAGAAGCAGTGGGCCAGGCACTCATTCAGTTTTGAATCTATGGCCGAAGCTGTCATTCCTGAGAACGTTCTCACGAAGGTAGCTCGCAACGTCGAAGTGAGCTGAGCTCAGCTGAGCGGCTGTGCAAATTTTGTCAAGTCTAAATTTTGAAATGCAAATGAACGGACAGAGATGAGATCTTTCGTCAGCATGGACGGGCAATCGAGGTCCGGATCAGTCGCTAATACGATGCAGTCCGAACTGCATCAGACCGTTCCGTTTCGGTGCACATGAATAGGCTCTGCGTATCTCGATGGCTTCACAAAGCTCGATCTTGCTTGAAAGATTTCAATGTACTGCCTTATCCCTCGATCTGTTTCTAAGGAAGCTGCTGACGGGATTGAAAGTAAAAAGCCTCGACGCTCGTATCACATCGACACGTTTCGCTGCAGTGATACACAATTTTTTTTATCTGAGATTTGAGAATGGTGGTGCTGATGGAAACACCAACGCTGCAGGCTCATTCGCCTCTCAGCCGAATCCAGTGTCGATTGTTCCCGGAAATCGAGACGGGTTCTCTATGGCTAAAAGCCCTGACGGGGGATGCTGCCACCGTGCAGGAGGCTAGCACAAAGGCTCCCCCATCGAGTCCAGTTTCGGAAGACGAAACAACAATAAGATCCAAACGTACCACCGGGAGTGATAATAGTACACGAGGAAAAGATGCTGCAATTGCTGCTTCTCTTGTTGGGTCTAGAAATACGAAAGGCAAAGTGACAGTGAGGGAGATGGTGGAGTGGATTTCAGCATATCATGAGCCTCTAAAGCTCCCCCAGAGTCGAGACTCTGAGGTTCAAAGCAACGAGCCTTCTCATTCTGCTCCTCGGGGCAGAATCGAGCATCAAATGGAGGAAAGCTCTCAAGTTTATCCACGACTGAAAGCCAACATTGGTGCCGACAAGACGAAGGATCCCTCACAGCCATCGGTTGAGAAGACCGGAATTCAACAACAGAAGAAAACTCTACGCGCTGTAAGTCCTCAAGAGCTGCAAAGGATTGAGGACTACCAGTTTCTAGCCCTGGCTAAGCGCGACCTCAAGCAACTTGAAGCTGAAATAGAGCTTTGCTGTCAGGAAACTGCGGGTCTTCATGGAATGGTCCGACAAGAGATGGAGCGCATCATCGAGAGTGCACTTCGAACGATCAAGCACGGAGGAAGTATGGATGTGAACCAGGCCGTGGAGTATAATGATAACCTTCTTCAGATGCAACGAAAGTTCGAGGATCTGAGCACCCGCCTGCAGAAGTCAAAAGCTGATTTGGCCAGCGTCAAGCGAATCGTGTCTGACTGTGCACGCATCAGGTGCAAATGCTGGTGGTGCAGAGGCTACAATAGTTTCCGAAAGCTCATCCCCATCAACCTCAGAGGAACGAGGAGACTGTCTCCTTCGCGACCGGTTGCGTCCCCTTCTTGAGCTTGCCGACTCTGCAAGAGCCTGCAGCCCTTCTGGCTGTAATGCAGCGAAGTTAGAAATTTTGTTCATTTACAGGAAAATTCTGATCTCAGTTCACCGTCTCCCGTGCCTCCTTGTCTTTTTTCTACTACCCTGTTCGCAGCTTTGATACAGCACCTGTACTATCTTAGAAGCGCAAGGTCTAAACTTGAAGACCGGACTGTACATCGATTTGAGGAGCATTCATAGTGAACTATCTGTTTTCCTGAAGTTTTAATCGATGATGAAGAGTACTATGCAACGATGTGTGTCTTATCCTTGTGGAAAGAATTTGCAATTTCAACCAAGATAGTGTACTTAATGGCGAGATGATTTTAATCTCTTGTCCGAGGAGTACTTATCTTGCCATGGCGAAGCACTCTCCTCCATTCATCGACATCCACCTGTGCCTATACTGCCTGTGAAGTCGATGTATCTCCAGCATCTAATGCAGTGCAGATAGGATACTAAAAACATGAAAATGATCATACGCCCAAGATTTCTTTAAGTTTGTATCGCATCCACGAATGAATCAAAACTGGGTACATTTCAAACGTTTAATCCGGTCTCAGGATGCCATTACGACCAGAAGAGGACTATATATGGAGGAGTCGTTTCTCCAATTTGTTCGGAAGCCAAGATTTCCTCAGTCTCACAACCGGAGCTCAAACTAGTCATTCCTCACAAGTTCAGGCATTGACAAGGCACCCTGGTGGGTAGTCTAAACTCAAAGAGTCAATGAATCCTTCTCACCTGAAGTGAACGAAAGGAAATCAATTCTTGCGCTAGGAGAAAGGTACACAGTGATATTCAGCCAAGAGTGTGAGAACGGACAAGCTGATATGCAGAACAGTGTATGAGAATAGAGAATTACACATTATACATTCGAGAACCAGATAGTGCTTCCTCCAAAGTGGAGGAACCAGGTATTTCACTATAGTACAAGTCAATGACGGTAACATTTGAAGATATTCCCAGCGAAATAAGAGCCCACTAGTTCAATAAGACGGATTCCAGTGACTGGACAGTGCCACAGTTCTACGAATCGACATCCAGGCTGTGAAGTTCGGTCTGGAGAATCCTCAGCACTTGCAGTCGATTGATTTTACACGTAAACCACGCAAAATGAAAAGGTTCCTTTATCAGCGCAGCGGCAACGAGCATCCTCGACTGAACAGGTGAGCGTAGCAGCTGCTGCAAACAAACGCTCTCTGCATTCAGCGACGAGCTCTGACTTTCTAAACATGAAACAGAGAATGCGGTAGTAACTGAGGGGACAACGCTAAACTACTCAGATATCATCATGTTCACATACTCTTTGACATATACGGGCTGAATCTGAGATCATGGGCAGCTAATCACCTGAATCGGCCTCTTCTCTGTTGATGAGTGTGATACAAACGGCACCCTTACAATACAATCTCGTGGCAGCTCAGAGCGCATCATCTGCGGTCTGGAGAGCTTCCAGCACTCGTGTTCTTACATCCTCGGGCAGCACGGCCCTCGGTCCCTTCTTTGAGTAGAATTCACCCAGCGTCCGGAGCGCTTTCTCGAGAGCTTGGTACGATTCCTGAACCGGCAGCACTGTCAGTCACAGACTAAGCTCACCAAAACTGAGACCCAAGGAGCACTATCAAATTTCCTCACTTTTGACAACATTGTGTGCTGTGAGGAACGAAAAGGAAGGGAGTGCCCAAAAATTTTAATTTGCCTTTCGTCATCGGGAAATGAAGCATCACTATGGAAACAGAAAGGCGGGCGGGCGTGCGGGCAGACCCACCTCGGTGGAAAGATCTTTGGAGCCTCTCCAGTTGGCGACATAGTCACGAATGGCTTCTTTGGCAGAGTCGGCGTTCCTCCTGAATTCCGATTCGTTCTTCGAGTCCCCGGAGAAGGAATCGCGCAACTTCGTCACGACGCCCCTCGCACTCTTCAAATAAGCCTTGGGCAGCTTCTTGCCAGATTTTGTTGTCTCGTCCGGATCCAACAGCGACATGATTCCCCCGAAAACACTGTCGTCTTTACTACCTGCCGAACTGTCTCCATTCTTCACCTCTTCGGCAAGAACCTGGCCAGCGTACTGCGTCAATGAGAATGCCGTCGAGCACAGCAGCAAGCCCCTCAATGCTTCTCGTCTACTCCTGCGAGCATCTGACTCTCCAATTGAGCTCCCTGGTAGCTTCATAGATTCGGGTGGGCACGAATTGGGCGTCTTGGCAGAGACATTGGTAGGGCAAGCTTTTCCTCTGCTGCCGGAAACTGACAATGCGGAGTCGAACATAAATTAGTCCAATTTCCAGACATGGTGTCGGCAGCAAATCTACCTTTGCAAAATCAAATTTCCACAGATTGTTGAAATTTCCCGTCACTTGATAAGAGGAGAGTTGAGCTTTACCTGGTGACGACGTTCCGAGAGCAGCCGAAGGTCGAAGAGAAGAGCGCAGCTGCACAGACCCGATCATCATCCTTCGAATCTGAACTTCCTCCGAGAAGTGAATCCGCTGAGCTTTCGAATCGGACGCGCTGCCCTCCGATGGGAAGGAAGGCCGACGATGCTCGCTGCCTACGAGTCCGTCGGCCCCCTGTACCTCTATCCACAAATGTGGCCCGATGGTTACCCGAACTGTGATGAGTGGAACGCCGTCGTCGGTCAATGCCATTGGCGATCGACCACGCAGTGGCCAGTGAACATCTGCACCGAGTAAACCGACGGCGCAGTTGTAAGTACAGAGCTTATTTCTATCTCCCGAAAAAGAGTAATATTGCAAAGAGATGGGAATGCCCTTAAGGATGGGTAGTCCCTGTAAGGGGCTACCCATTTTAAAAAGGGTAAAAGGTTCAAATTATCTGAATTAAAAGGTGTATTTATTTAGAAACTAGCAATACTCCAAATTCAAATATAAAGATCGATTGTGTCGCATGCTAGTAGTGACATACTCCCAACATTGACTTAAAAGGGAAAAAACATTAGATTATAATTTGAAAATCTATCAAATAATAACGGTAAGTCACTATTTTCTAATAGTGACATAACATCTCAAATAATGGCAAATATTTGCCATTATATTAAAACACGTGGCAAATATTTGCCACGTGTTTTAAAAAAATTTAAAAATTTACAAAAATTTTACAAAAATTTTCCAGTTCATTGACAAAGTTTGTAGTAAAATTTTGGAGCATTTTTCACAAGCGAGATGTTCTCACGGGCAGAGTTCGTAATAGAGTTTCGTTGGGAAAACTTCACAGCATTCTTCACAAGCTAGATGTACTCACCGTCAAAATTTGTAACAGAATTCATAACATAACTTCGTAGTAAAACTTCAAAGCATTCTTCACGAGCTAGATGTTCTCACCATGAGATCTCGTGTCATTGCGTCTTTTCAAAGCAAGATGTTATGCCATCACAAAACTATATCTTTCTCTCTTACATCTTTATCTGTGTAGCAGCATGTAAATGTTTCCTTGTACGTTCTCAAGCTTTCTTATTAGATTAAATTATGTTTGAATATGTTTGAAATTTGTGAATGCCAAGGTTCACGAAGGGTTGTGATATACCTAAATCTGTACATCGAATCAATTGATTGACATCTCTAAATTTTAGAGCAATTAAACACCTCACAAATTATTATTCAGAGCCCATTCAATGAGAAGTGAAATTATGATATAGTATTTAGAGTTACGAACAATCTAGACCAAATTTCATGGATAGTTTATTATTGTGAAAGTTTAATTGCATAAATCAGTCACTTATAGTCAAATTAACATAATTTGTCATCATCTATTAAGAATGATCAGAGAGGTTTGTCTGTAAACTCATCCTATCATGTACTAGACTTCTATAATTTGCTATAGATTTTATTGTATATTGTGTCATGGAATCAATTCTCTCAAATTGTTGTTGACGTATCAACGGACAACGAGCTCAGTGAAGAAGAAATTAATCAGATCAGTGATGGCTCTATTCGCTTGCTCATTTGTAAACGGAGTCAGTACTTGGACAATATCATTGTTCTCTAAATGGCTTGCACTTTGTAGGAGGTTGTGATCTTCAATTACAAACTTGACAATGTTAATATCACCGATATTGTCATCGCTAGTAGCATCGAGAGCATCTGTCTCAATTAAATTTTTAGCAATTTCTTCAATACTTGCATCATTAAGACCAAGAGAACCTAAGAAAAAATTATCGAGTCAAATTTTTTGCAAAATTTCCACTAAATCATCTATCGCTTGATTTGAGCCTGTAACAAATCTATCAATATCTTGATTAGAATTCACCTGAGAAACGACAAAGAGACAATTGACTTTCACAAAGCATCTTCAAATGGTATTCTCCTCAAAACTATATGATGACAACTTGATCCAACCAAGCACATTGCGTAGATGTGTATGATTGTTAATTGGAAATCGAGAATGAGGTGCACGTTGAGTCGTTTGCTAGAATTCATACTCAAACATTAGGTGGTGTAGTTGAGCACGGCGAAAGTGCGTTTTGAAAGACCGAATGATTCCTTGATCAAAAGGTTGACATTTGTTTGTAGCATTAGGTGAAAAAAAAATAATGCAGAAGTTTTGACATCGGAAAAAAGTTTTTTGTGAACCTGATGGATCCAAAATCTTTGACACGCAAACTTGAGATGAGCAATTATCTTGGAGTATATAGAAGACAATGTTTTGATTATTGGCAATCTTGTTGTACTTGTGCAAGAGTCGCATATAAAATGATGTATCCTGCCAGACTTTGGGTTGATCATAAATAATTTCAAAAGCCTTGCTGATATTTAGAATATGCTTCAAAGCCTGAGGATGAGCACTCTTTGTGATAACTTGAATGGTAAATGTCTCACTTGAAGCAGTTACTCCAAGCTTAACTGTGGTTCTATCTTTGCTTTGCTTCACACCCCGACCATTTGAATTGGATGTGAAGTACAACCGTGATGATGTTGTGTGATATTGTAAAGCCGATTCATCAATGTTGATAATACATTTAAGTGGAACATCAATCAGCACTCCACGAATTTCATGTAAAGGTTTCTCACCCTGGATGAATTGAAGTTATTATGATTTCCGCACCTCTTCACACTAGATGTTGAAACGCGTTTCAGATATTTTTCCAGCCATCCATTTGAAGCAACAAATGTCTAAAGATGAATAATATCGGATGATTTCAAACATTCCGCGAAGTCATTCAAAATCTTGTCTCGAAAAAATATAGCCTTATTTTTGAGCACCTTTCCAGTCACGTTCAGCGAGGACGCATCGACCCCAACACGCATATGCCATTGATGCACCATGTCGGTAAGAATTTGCACTTGAGTTGATCTAAAAATCATTTTAACCCCATCTCTGTTTGATTTCAATGCCACATGCATGATAAATTCTCTTTGCTTCTAAATTTTTGAAACAGTAGTATGTCCTATCAAAAATGCTAATGTTGTTTCATCTCGAGTGGCTCCAGGTTTATTGAGAAAATCGAGCACCTCCACTTTCTTCTTGACATTCAAACGCTTACGCTTCGACATTGCAAAATCATCGTGAACCTTGAAAATGAGAAAAAACGCGTCAAACAATGAACTTGGAGAAGTTTGTGCTACACGTGTATCACTTTAACGTCGAACACTTGTAACTCTACAGTTCAGATTCTAAAGCTACGAAACCTCCTTTAAGTGACACCTCCGAGTAGTAACTCTTAACTGTAGTACAGGTTGTGTCATTATTGGGATATGAAACTCTATAATACGTGAATCACTAAATTTAGATAAAAGTTTCAGTAATTATGACCTATACATATATGCAAATACAACGAATCCATAAATCAAAAGATTAAGGAAGCTCAGTTAAAATGCGAAAAGTGAGAGTATATTATAACCTTCAATCCAATGAGTTCGCAAAGTAAGTGATCCTACAACAGTTTTGGCCCCACCTCCGCTTGTGAGTTCTCTGAGTGGAGCAATGGATACTCGCTTCTAAAAGTATGAAAAAAATAATAGTTATAACTTATCAACCCGTCTATTATATATTCTTTCGCCTATAGCTACAGCCTTATATAACACAAAGCTAAAGAAACAAAGATTTGGACATTAGCACTCCCCCCTCTTCAAAACTATTGGAGTTTTGAATAGATCTTTTGGGAGACAATGTCAGGTTGTATACTTAGCCATAACATATACAAGATTAACTAGAGACCATAAACAAAGTGTAAATATTTTCCTAACCTAATTAGAATCAAGTGTTACAAGTGTTTATTACATACTAAAGTACCCAACATCTGAAGACTATCAACTAAAAAACAAATGTTACAAAAATCAAATGTTACAAAAAAATTTTAAATATACTAAGTTTTTGGTCATCTTGTGATATAGTAAACATCATATATATGCAAAAAGTACGAGGGGCTACTTTAAATGGATACTTTACTAATAATCAAATAACTTTTCATATAGGCTCATGTATCACAACTATGAACATTTGAAGATGGATTAGGATTTTTAAATGAACCAATGAGTTCTAAGTTGCTTCATCTATTTACAACTCAATTATGTAACTATGAGAGTGATTTTATACAAGATGTAGCTAGATACTTGTAACTTGTTGCAAAATTGCAAGATCGCAATATAGCTCCCCATGCTTTCTCATAAATTGATTTGTTCATTTGAAAAACACATGAGTATGAGGATTTTTCAAATGAACCTATAAAAATATTGAGAAAACATAATGCATGATGTCCGTACTTGTTATAAGGGATTACACCAATAACACTCTTATGTGATGAAAAATACCCAGTCATTGTGACCGGATACACTGGAAGGGCTCCTTGAGTAAAGAAGATACTAAAAAATCCACGTTACATTCAGACGTACATGTGATATATTTTATTTCCGTCACCGGAAGAGCAACACTACTCAAGAATTGCAAAAATCTACTCTCAGTACTCTAGACTACGTCTCACAGCTACCCTGCGATGAAAGTCTAGGATTTCTCAGAAATACACAAGGCAAGGTGGCTGTTAGAAGTCTACATGCATCACACGAGGAAAGTACCACTATCTTGCGTCTCATCAGCCATGAGGAAAAGAAAACGCACACTACGTCTCGGCTCTAAGCTTGTAATCTCCTGATGCCACCTCCCTCTGAACTCACAAACACTCAACCATATAGCACGCAAAAAGTCCCAAGCACCTCCAAAAAGCCAAGGCCAAAGCACCCCGGGCCCCTCTCCAAGGGTCAAAGAGTATTTCCAAGAATAAAACATTGAAAACCCATCTTATCACACCTAAAAATAGAACCACTCAATCTCACCTAAAAATAGTCTCACCCATAAACATGTCTCTTCACTCTCACTGGGGATAACTTGATCTTTGATGATGCCAAGGAATCATACCCTCTCAGATCCCTCCAAGTCCAAAGTCTGAATTCTCTTTGTCCGAAGTCTGAAGTACAAAGAAACTTTGAGCCGAAGTCAGAAGTACTTTGAGCCGAAGATCTTTGAGCCGAATTTCTTCGAGCCGAAGAACTTTCGCCTATTCGTACCAGCCATTTCCGATACTCATAACTCAATGATTTCTCAACCGTTTGAAAATTTCTTGGGCTTGTTAGAACAAGCATGCCAAGCTCTATCCATAGAATTTCTCTTTAAGTCAATTGATTACGAATTGAGAAAGTTATGAGGTATTTACTCTATCACATCAAACTATCTATTGAAAAAAACTTTAAAAATAATACTTTATTTCCTATCTAAAAAATAGCCACCTCACACATGAATTTTCATTTTGAGATCATTCAATTTCACTAAGATCATTAGTCTTAGTTTTTCAAAACACCAATTACATTCAATAAAGCATCATTGTTATTATGTGAATATAATCTTGGATGGGGGAATCAAATACTGTACATTCAATGTGAATTTTATATTTGTATAGCTGAACAGCAATTTGTATCAAAGTAACATCTATCATTTTTTATCAGTTTTCAGTTTGTCATCATTGTGAATCTACTTAATAATCTTTTGCACAATTTTAGGTGGAATAAGAAAACATACATCTCTTTATTATGTTTTTCATGATATTGCGATTCATCTTTTTGCTTGATTACTATCAAACTGCTATCATTGCTAGAATAATCTCATATCAGCTACAAGCAAAGCTATTAGGCAAAGAAAAGATTTCGAGGTTTTTCATTATAAAAGTTAATTTGATTTGAAAATTTTGAGCTTTAACATACATTTGAATATTCATAAAAATAAGTAAATAATCAAATTTTTAGCTGAATTTAAACTATGCTATTGAAATAATTTTTGTTTACATCTCACGTGTTCATAATATCAAAAATTTATCAAAGTAACATCGGCTGATAAAAAAATTTAAAAGCTAATTGTTATGATTAGATACTATCGTAATGCCAAAAAATATAAAATTGCATAATTTATAGTTTTGTATCCTTCACATTCTGAGTATATCTTACAACATTTGATTGACATCAAAATTTTAAATTTTTCCAAATTTATGTTGGAAATCATAGATATTGTCCTTATTGCATCTTGCATACAGAAAATATATTTGATAATGTTGATGTATGTTTCCATTAATATTTTATAAATTTAGCTAAAAGATATTTAAAGTTTTTTAGCTAAATATAAAAAATGTTACCCTTACAAGGTCGTTGAAGTATATGTATATTTCTATTAAAATAAATGTTAAAGTTCTAGAAAAAAATTCAGCTTTATTTTTCAATTATGTTACAATTACTTTCGGAAAAAAATAACATTTTAATTATAACATCTTTGAACATGATGATCCAGATTTACTAAATATAATCCAAACCCAATCTCTGTCTCGAATGAAATGTTTCTATGAATTACTAGGAAGCAAAATTCTATTGAAAACATATTCATCACTTGACCGTACCGATCTGACAAATGAAACTAAAGCGGCTACTGAACTTTGTCATAAGATCCAATAGATTATTATACACAAGAAATATATTCATAAGTAGAAAGTAAAACTTGTACAAAGAGAACAGCATTATTTTTTCAACTTTTTTTGTTGAACTATACATACTATTCATACAACTGTACTTGTTCTTTCTATATATAAACAATGTAGGAACCTGAAATGCATTCTAAAGAATTTTTCAAATGAATATATAGTTTACATTAAGTGAATTGTTTCCATGCTTATGTCTTGTATGTACTTTTCATGAGAGTCAACATGAGCAGCTATATCTAAATTAAGTAACGTGTATGAATAGTTTCGGGACTCTCTTGGAAAATGAATCATAAAGAAAATTAATCAGGTTTCCACGCACTCTTCTCTCCATTTCTTGTGTTTGAAGGCATCGACGAGGTTGCCATAATTATCACACTTCTCGTCGCACGAGCAACGAAATGTTCATAAGCACATTCGACCAGAAGAAGATGAATTTGGCACGCGACAGATTTGGCAGGCGTCGGTAAAATATTCGATGCGCTAGGGGCCAAGTTGCAGGACACAGTGGAGGCCGTTCGACTTGAGCTGGATCGGCGGCAGATGCCAGAACCTTGACATTGCTCGCTGCGGGAGAACGAGCGAGCGAGACGACAAGACTCGGGATAATCTGGGCTTCGATCCAATGAGGCCGGTCGTCGCGCTGGAATTTCCCAACCAGTTTACCGCATTCGATTAGGCGTTAAAACAGGCGGACGGCGATGGCGTGAGTTCGACGGTGTGCACTTTAGAGTTGGTTCGGATTCCGAGCTTTCGGTTCCGCAGGTTGACCTCTCTCTGGTTCTCTTGCTCTCTCTGCCAATTCTGCATGGTCTTGCTCGTGACGAGATGGTGTGAGAGCGAGTGCTCATGTCTCGTTGGATTTGTAGATGAGTTTTACGATTCGGTGACCCAGAACCCTAGATTTCAGTGGAGCACGGCCGGCCTCGGTTTGCGAATTAGAGGTTTGGAACTGCTCTGCGTTCGATTTGGAATTGCCGTTCATGTGGTCTCCGTCTTCGTGACTGTTGTTGGCTCCTTCGATCAGGCACGATAGCACGATTTCGGTCGCTCAGCTCGTTCGGGTGCCTCGATTTCCATGTTCATTCGCTGTCCATGACGATGAACGCTTGTTTGTAGATTGGCTGCTGTAAGAGAATTGGCGAAGCGTGTGCTGCACGAGATGGAGGATTTGGACGATCTTTTGGACAGTGAGTGGATGAACTTTTTCTGTCGAATTGGATGGTGTGTGAATGGGGCAGATTTGTGTTTTGGATAAATGGTGATGGCGATCGGGCATGAGTTTCGTCATCGGCTCGTTTGGAGCATGATGGTCAGCATTTTTAGCATATATTTTTTGCTGCCATAAGGTTGGCATGGCTGGTCTCAATTCTGCTTACACTTGTGGGTGGATGCCTGTTCTGGATTTGTAGGTGCTCTGGATGATTTCAAGAAGGTCGAAATCTCCAAGCCTTCGCCCAAGTAAGTAGTAGCTTATTGAGATTTTTTGTTAGATCAGATCCTACGGAAGTCTGCTTTGTTCCGTTCTGTGATGGATTTACGCAATTGTCGGTGCGCGTGACCTCAATTTGGTGGTCGGAAGACGGGACGATTGCGCCAATTTATGTGACTGAGTTAATGAACCGAAGTATTCTCACAAGGAAAGATTTCAAATGAACGAGATACAGGTGACTGGAATCCCAAGAGAAAGTTCGTTTGAGTAGCTAACGCGAGGTTGGTCTGGTCTACTAGGGCAAGTGGAAAGGAAAGTTTATCAAAACAGAAGTCAGCAGTACGAGACAGTGACGGGTCTGGACCTTCTGTTTCAGATGGAAGTACGGGAGCAAACCTAGGACAAGGGTTAGGGCTTGGATTGCCAGCATTGACACCGGGCAAGAAGAAATCCTCTGGAAATAAAATTGGTTCATCGTCCCAAACTGGTGCAACAAGCTCAGGAACTTCGAAGCAAAGTAGCTGGACTCGTGACAAGTCGGCCCCTCAGAGACCCCTATCAGCGACGCTGGACATGCTTCAGCAGCAAACCCGGGAGACAATGGGAAATATCGACGTTGCGGATAAAGATGAGCTTATGGGAGAGGAGCTGGTGGAAAACCTGATGAAGCAATTTGAGGATTTAGGTGGATCTCAGGTAACTGTCAAAATCTCAATATGAAACTCTAACTCCTACTCTACCATCCAGCCGATAACGCTTCGAAGCTCCGACCGAAAGCCGTTCATTGAGAATGTTTTCTGATTTGAGAGCTTCTGTGGCAAATATACCCTTTTCTTCACCCTCTTTCATCTCATCTTTCTTCTTTCACATCTTTTGCCACCAGCACTTTCTGGTTGTAAGCGTGGTAGACTGGAACAGATTAAGTCCCTTGAGGAGAAGGTTGTTCAGATTCACAACCTCTATAAAGTTGATATAAAGACGTGAAGTGCAGTATATGCTTCTGCCAATAATACCAAAAAGAATACCTAGTATCTGTGACAACCTAGAAGCTTTCAAACTCAACCTCTTTCACAGGTGAGCTAAATGCGTTGATGTGGTCTACCTGGTGGGAGTTGTCTCGTTTTATGCTGTAAATTAATTTTCGTAGTAGTGTTTTAACGCACTTCTCTTACTTGATCTTGATTGAAGGACATGCAATCTATTATGGATACAATGATGCGCCAACTGCTATCGAAAGAAGTACTGCATGAACCTATGAAAGAGATAGGTGAGCGTTATCCTGAATGGCTGGCTGCGAACAAGTCTCAGCTGAGCCAAGAGGACTATAGCCGCTACACGAGGCAGCATCAGTTTATCTTGCAGCTGTGTGATGTGTACGAGGCCACACCCGATGATTTTCCGAAGATCATGGAGCTAATGCAGAACATGCAAAACTGTGGCCAGCCACCGAGTGATATCGTCAAGGAACTTGCTCCTGGCCTAGATCTGGATCAAGACGGACTGCCCATGTATGCTCATAAGCAACCTATGACAACTTCATTGCACGTGCTTATTTTGTTCTGTGTTACTTGGGCATAGTTGACAATTTTTATGTGATGACTTCACTTTTATGGGATTGGTAGTTACCTGTCTGACCTCGTCTTATCAGATACAGATGCAAGGTGAACCTGGAAATATCCATGTCTTTGACCTATGTGTTCAATGCAGGCTTCCGGACTTCGGAGCAGTCGGGGGTAGCGGTCAAACAAACTGCAGTATTATGTGACAGGGACCACGAGCTTTTCTACAAACAGCTGTGGATATTGTATGCAATCCCTCCCATTGATGCCGCTAGCAGCCAAGTAAAAGGCCAGAGACTAATGTTTGTTGTAAGTCAGATGTGCCTGTACTGTGCAATTTGGATGGTTTCTCACTCAGCAGGGGTTCATGCTGGGGCGGAAGGAGTTGTAATTCTGTTACTGTATGTGGTTTAACCAAGTTGAACATTTCACAGTAGGAACATATTCTGGCCACTTCAACAAACGTTTGCAGAATAGTTGTCCAAGGTAGCTTAGATACTACCTCGATTGATAGGCCCTCCGAGCCAACTGGGTTGATAGAGACTAGAACCTAGATTCAAGCATGTAGAAAGTGATTTGCTCTTCACAAGTGGAGCATATTGGGTTATAAATTGTAATCGCGGAATTTAGTTGTACCATGAGAAAGGTGTTGATGAAGTGGTGAACATACCTCTCGTTGGTTCAGATGAGAAAAGTCCTGATATGAGTTATGTCCTGCTGTAGAGTGTGCACGGCGCATGTACATTTATTCTGTGAATTGGAAAGGTATTTGTCAGGTTTCCTGTTGAACTGCGTTGCTACTTCGCATGTCTGTTATAGGATTGTGGTAACTGGCCTGATGTGTTGATGCCAGTTTTGGATGTGCATTAACAGGTTTCACGCAGCGGCCATTTGAACTTTCATTGGTATAATTCTCCTCCGCTTATGTATACTGTGTATAATACAGGCACTGCTACATCCTATGTTCGACTTTTGCATCCCACCTGCTCTACCGGATAAAAGCACCGCATATTCTGTGAAGCTGAAGGACATTCGTCACTCTCAAGTGGTCCTCGTTCTTGATCGCAGGCTGTATCTGCTAGTACCTCTCTGTTGTTGGTTCCATTGTTATGACTGGCAAGTACAACGACACATAGTCGACATTTGTGTTGTCTACTGAACCTCCCCTTCAACGTGCCGATGTCATTCATGGTTGCTGTGGGATTTTTTATGAAGTTTGCATCGAGGCGGCTCGTCTGCCTTTGCTTTTCTTCTAGAGAACGACTGTAGGGATTGATTTCGGTTTCTTAAGTGCTTGCATGCGATGATCTTTTCGGTTTTTCGAATAGCATAAGATTCCGTTTCTAAAACGAACTCGTATTTCCTCATTGTGCGCAACACTGTCGCAGAGTTGGAGTAGGATCACATCTCCACTCGTAAAAGCTTTCCTAATTGTACAGTCATTTCGCAATGTATGCTTTACTGCTTGAACCTTCATTTCCTGTACATACTGATTGCTGGGAGAGGATTAGGGAGTTCCAGCCAGTGGTAGAAAGGTAAAACAGTAGTTATCGAACAGCTTGGCCAGAGTTGGGACCTGGTCAGGAGACTTACTCATTTACCCATCAATGATGACCATGTGATGGGTACTGATGAAGCTACGGTTCTCAAGCTTTATTATGATTGCGTCTTTCGAAACCTCTAATTATTGCTTTCCCCCTAGATCCCAAGATGGCATCAGATTGGCCCGTGTGAGAAGCGGGCAAACGAAGAAAAACGATAGAGGGCGGTTCGGTAGATGCACAAAAACGCCGGCTTTTGAATGGCTCAACCAACGCGAAGAATGTTACTAAGATCGTCGAAGGCTGCCGTTTGTCGAAATAAAGGAAGATGGTGATTTGGGCAGTAGTGTCAGGTGACCGAAGTAACCAGCAATATTGTACGCCGGTGACTTTTGGTACCGGAAGAAATTGGGGATCAGGTGCAGCAGGAAAATATGTTGAGGATGGAGGCAACCAAAGTTGCACGATAGTTGTATACGTACATTTCTTGACAGCCGGAGCGCTCATGACCAAAGTATGGACTTGGGGTGACACTCGTCCGCTACCATACTTGAATTCTCCGTATGCTGGCTGCGTACTCACACAGCCAGCATTCGGAAATTTCAATCATGGTAGCGGACGAAAGTGGCAACAAAGAGGAAAAGCGGTTGGATACTTCACGTGATCAGAGCGGTCAGTGGTCAGCGCGAGCAGGAGTGAGATCCAAATTAGGAGGAAATCTATTCTATTTTAGGACATATTTGTCGGATCTGTAATCTACTCTGGCGAACTCAGGGTAGGGTACGGGCGATTTACGGATCTCTCCTCGTTGTCCGAGCTACACATCATGAGCTGCCACTCATGATGTGAGGTTTTCCTTCGGCCTTCTCCGGCTTAACCCATCGGAGATACAAGAGATTCAGATGAAGTATTAGAAGTTGCCAATAAAGGTCTCTGGGATTTAGACATCGTCGGAGTCGGCAGTGGATGTCCAATTTTCTTTCAATGCATCGAAGCTGCAAAGTGTGGAAAAGCACGGGAAACACTAATTAACGTCTCATGGAAGTTCCGTGAGGAGTGAAGCTGGTTGAATCAGATATGCCAGTTTTGTGAGAATCGTTGGACGACCGTGATGGAATGAGACTTCTTCATATTGCGAATCATTGCGCCTTTATGAAGACCGATTTCCTCGTGTCAAATGAGTGTGGACTGTGAAATGTACAGAACCCGAAAACCGTGTGAACGGGACGCGTTCAGTGCAGAAGACTGATTATAACAGCAGTTCAAGAAGAAATAAACTTACGGAAGACATTCGCAAACCTGGTTGGTACTCTTCGTTACACAGTGACGATCATTGAATTGCAGGTGGAGCGCAAGCGTTTCGTCGTGAATTCTGCGTTTCAATTTGTGTCAAGCCTTCCGCAACACTCCCACCGACCATCGCCAGTCCATTCGTCACTGCTGTGCAAGCGGCCGCCATATCGTCGTCTTGACTTCAGGCGCATCGAAATGGAGCCTTGCGCCGCAATGCGGCCTGCTTTCTTGAAGGGCGATGAGGGCGTACATACAATCACCTGTCACATAACAGTTTCACTTGTAGATTAGGTCGTGAAATCAAACACGAATCTGTAAATGTTGGCAATCGGTTGAACTTTAATAGCTCCCTTGTGCAGGTATTCCACCTGCCAGTCAAGACTTCTTCGTAAGATAATTGTGATCGTCTGTTTGGCTTTTGATACAGACCCTGCTTACGAGCCATGAAGCAGAGTATATTGTAGAGCACCTCTCTTGTTTAGGCATCGATCAGGTACATAGTCCTTCTTTCCACCGACCTCCCAAGCTGTGACGCTGACCACGTACGACGCATTCCTTTAGAAACCGAAATCACGAGCACAAAGACGAGTTCGTTTTACCAGCTCGTTGACAAACAGGGAGACATGCGAATTGTAACTGCTATCTCGTCAATGACGAGAGTCAGCAGACTCATCCTCTGAAGAGAGATTTGACAGTTCCATTGAGCATGTCGAGTGAGATAAGGCCAATCCTCGTTGAATAATCCTGAGGCATGTGACTGCGATATCAAGAACCTGAGATTGCATGACTCTGTTTGGATTGAATCCTAAGACGTGAGGATTTTACCTGTCTGAGCTAGGTTGGCAGCGCGGCATGGATAAAGCAGCATGCAAACTTGGAAAAATTGAACCTTCAGGTACCGATTTTACATAATCTCCATATTCCTCACACTGTCGAGTGCCGTGCCCGTCTCATCTGACATTGGAATGCAATGACCGTTAGCAGCGAGCAACATCCAGCACTAAACCAGCTGGTCAAATCTCCAACTTGTGGTTGAATCTAGCCCTTCTCTTGCAGGCCCACTACAATACGATGGCCCTCTGTGATGAGTTCGTCATGGCTGTAAGTGACATTCTTGTGTACACTACATCAGACCACTCCCAAATTGCATCTTGTCGTTATCAGGAGGCTGTTCAATATGTTAAGGTTTCACAATGGAAGTTCAGAGATTACATTGGTAAGAAGTCGGTGGTTCAACAGGTTTGAATAATAGATGCAATAGATTAGAGCTTTGATCTTGTCAGGATTTCTGTACGAGCAGGCCCTTATTTCACACAACAAGATGGACGTTCTGATACACGAGCTTCTGGTTATTGAGGTAGATGTCTATATAATCCGTTCCGGTGTATAGCACTTCGAATTCTTAGAGTTTTGAGAGGCGAACAGTGCATCTGATCTCCTTGCGGTTGTCTGCAGACCATTTTACTTGTAGCTGAACATTACTGCAGGTCAGATAACTTAAAAGTCAACATCCACGGCCCTGTTAGAAGTCACTACAAGAAGTTCACTTAAAATGCCTTGTGTATCCTGATAATAATTGTCAGCGATTCTATAACCGAGAGAGCACTCTCACCATGGGCAAGCAGCAGTATAATCGACCCCGTCATTCTTGACAGATTTGGTTAGAAAAGGTCTTTCCACACCTACTTCCTGCTCTCGCTGTCCAAGCGACGACAATGACCCTGGGTCTCCTCTTGTATCACGAGGCAACAATAATCAACTTGCTGGAGGTAAGCTTTGTGTACAGAGCTTCTGGTATGTGGAAGAAAAGTGTCCTCCCAATATCCTTCACCAGAAACTAGTATGAAGCGAACAGCCTCGGAGGTTATTTATCGAGCCATTTGTAATTAGGCATATTGTCAACTTAATCAACGCTATCAGTGAATCAGAGTGAATGTTGCTGTCAAGTTCTCGCTTGTCTATGTCATCCAGCTGCACGGGTCTAAAGATATGACCTTTTCTTTGCCTAGGTGGCTTTGTTTCATTCTGAAGCCTGTGAAGCACTTGGATCAGATGCTCTATTGGAGGTAAGACATGATATGGATATTTGCAACTGCTTCACATATTCAGCTGTATCCTGGATAATATTCTGCTAATTCAAGTTTGCTAGCTTGTGCAGTTTACAGCTGCTCTACACACAAAACTGAAGAAACTGATGTACTTTTAGTCTGCTTCAGACGTGTGAACGCGTCTAAAACGATAAACTTGCTGTTGTATACTAATGAATTTTTCCGAGCAATCAGTTCACCGACCTGACACTATCCAAGTTCAGCTAGCAGATTATACGTACAGGAAAGTTGTTTACTTGAATACAAAAGCCTGGGAAGATGCCTCCGCCAAAGGTACTTCTGCGCTAAAGCCCCGAAAACATCCTCCTGCTTGGAGAGTACTCGATCCATGATAATGAACTTCCTGGTATAATCATGATGAAGGTCATCGCTAGTTCGAGTAACTTAAAAGCACATTTGACATAACAAAGAGACCTCATAAAACGAAGAGTTTGGATTCATTGCCGTTGTTGGCACTGCAGAAAGAACGGCTTCGGAGATGGTCAACCTCAAACCAGAAGAAGAGGTCGAAGATAAGGTGACGACTTGCTCTACAAACTTGTGAAGATCTTCGACGCCATAATAGAACTATACACGCAAAAGTGCCTACAGACCCTTAACGAATCCAGGTGCACAGACTTGGCTGGTTGTCTTTCAAAAGTGCGAGCCCTTTAATACCGAGCTCCTAACTTAGGTGGTATAATGAACTCACTGGACCTATGCATGCAGGTCGCCCGTAATCGGTTCTGCGCTGGTGTTTGCGCCCTTAGTGTGCTGAGGTAGTTCAGTTTGTCCCTGCCCTTCTCTCTACTGTCGAACTTGTTAAGTCGAATGAACATAGTGATTAGTTTGGTAGCAAGTCCGCAGTCCTAAAGTCGCAAATCATATTATCCCGAACCACAACGTTTGTACACTAAATGTGAGTCTAATTCTAACATACACACAAACACTCATAATTACAGGTACCTGACGGACTACATTTCGAGCCTCTCTCCTTGTGTTATGGTGAGTTATCTATCAAAACATTTCAGATACACCTTAATGTTCGTACGATGTGGCAATAGAGTCGAGGCAGAACAACTGGCATCTTTACTATCAAGACGGTGAGTCATCTGGGACCCGGGCATCTGCAGGCTCGTCTACTGGATTGCCACGATGTTGTCATGGCTCTGATTCCACTTGTTGAATCTGCTCCGTGGACAAGAAAGCGAAAGTCTGGCGACAAGAGATGGGTACGATATGTCACGGGCCTTCAGACTTAAGATTCCCTCCCCTTGTCATTCATAATTTAATGCAAAACTCTTGTGCTTGGGAACACCATAAGCTGTGTTTGGATGCAATTGATCACTCACTTAATTTGTCACTCGCATTATCCGGTGGACACAGGTCGAGAAATATAGTAAAGGGAAGTGGAGTGAAGTTCCACCCGCCGACAGATACCTGTTAGTTGAGCCTGACGTGCAGGTATGGGAACTTGCCAGAATTGACATTCTTCGTCACACATACGTCTTGTTGCTTTCTCTCGTGAAAACTTCCGCTTTTGACTCCATTCAACACTCTCGAGACTCACTCCTGCCCGGACCGTATTTCTGCAGCTTTGGCTCGCCATAAACAATCTGCTTGTCGACCTGAAATGTAGAAATAAGTACGCGTACGATAGTTACCGCAGAAGTCAGGTTCTGAAGGTCTTTCCTCAAAGCCTTCTCCCACATCATCAGCTCGATGCTCCTCAAATTTCTTAGGCTTGCACTGTTTCAAGTCTGCAAACAAGCAGAAAGCGTGGGCTTCCTTGTGGAATTAGAGCTCATTCCTCTTACGGATTCGGATGGTATGAACCATGCAAAGCTACTCCTCGAACACTGAAACCAATTTTGTTCTCCGTCATCTTAAGGGAGTATCTGTCTCGTATGTTCGAGTATTTACAATAACTTTGAAAACAGAGATGCAAAAGACCTTGGAGGACAACTCTGGCGTAAGTGATTTCAGTAGCATGTGGGGAGACCTCTGTTACCAAGATAATGAATACACACAGGCACCTGGCACAGCAATTGTGAACTGAACCAGTCATTTCATTTCACTTTGTTGAGCACCAAAGTAATTCCTCTGATCTGATCTACGCAGCTGCATAAATACGTAAACGACCTACTGCTCGACCAACTGCCAGTTTTGAAAGACCTTCGCTGGGTATGGCATGAGCTTGATTTCTGTGGCATTTCATCAGAGATCTGTTGTGCGCCGCTCCTTCCTTCACTACGATCATTAGATAAATACATATATTTCAGCCTCCGAAAAAACATGAGAAATCAGATTCAGATGATTCATTTGTATCTGGCATCCCGGATGCAGGGTTAAACTTGTTAACTTGTCCCGCCGCAGGTTTTGGAAGAGCTTCAGCTTAAGATTCTCAATACTGATCCGGACAGAGGAGGCCTGATACTAGAGCAGGTGCGTGGATTTCGATGTTTGTCTTCAGCTTCAAAGCAAACTCGCATGCCACAGCCTCTCCCTCCTGCCTCGCTAGAACAGTCTGCACCAAGATCTCTCGCGGCTCTGTAAATATCCTGTCACAATGGGCAATTGGAATAATGGAATGATACACGTGTTTGCTGCAGGTTCCAGCCCTCAGGGAGTCAATGCTACGACGGGATGACTGGCGTGAGATGAACCATCTAAACCTACTTGTCTCTGACGATTATGTCCATGGCTTAGAGTCCCTTCATAAATCATGAGTTTAGAATGCATCCTGTTGGTTATCATAAGACATCACAGCGGGTGATTGGTAGCACGTACCTTCTTCGCTAAACGAGTTGACAAATTGCAGAGGAACTCGCGCAAAAGCAGTTACTAACGATATTGGCCAACGAGGCCCCGAACCAGAGCGCAATGAATGAGCGGGTCCTGGAGATGATGCGCATGTTTGAATTTGGGGTATTGCTCTATCTTCGCGTGGCTGAATTAGATTGGGATCTGATTGGAGTATGTAGTGGGGGGGGGGGGGGGGGGGGGGGGGGGGGGGGGGGCAATAATCAGCGTACATACAAGTGACTGTGTAAGAGTATGCCTTTATCACACTTCGTACTTGGACATCTGGTCAGCAGGAGTGAGTTCGAACAGAGTCGTCGTTTTCCTTCTGTCCTCGACGACACTATTAAATGAAACTTTCCGCAGCTGTAATTTCTGAAGGAGACTGATATCCTTGGTCCTATCCTGGGGGTACTTTGACCAGGAACTGATGGAGCCTCCAACATGCGCCGCATGTGGTGGTCAGGCTGTTAATCGTTGTTCGCGGTGCAAGACCGAGTGGTACATTCGGATCTTAACTTCTGACATGGTTCTCTGTGTTCGTTCCTGGGGTCGTTTTCCTTGTTGGGCATGATAATTGAGCTCTTAGACCTCATGCTCTTCCCTGCAGGTACTGCGGAAAAGCTTGCCAAGTGAGGGTTTGGCAAAAGCACAAGAAGGCTTGTGAACTTCTAGTCCGAGCTTCTCATAACCAGCCGAACAAAATCGTCCAAGCTTAGCTCATGGGCAGGTATCAGCACTCTTTGATGTTGGGACATCCTGACATAAGCGCTGCGTTGTCTTTCCGTGAAAACAAATTCGAGTTTGGACGATAGACTGCCTTGTAAAACGAATGATTTTGCATCTGTCAGGCTTTTGTGGGTCACGGTGAGATGATGATGATGATGAGAGATGGTGAGAGGGGCCAAGGAATGGGATAATAGGCATCTGTTGACCCAAGCACGGGAACCCCCGTCCGATGCTCCAGGGCAATGATCGAACTGGGCTCTTAAACTCTGAACTTCCTGGGAAGCACAACGTCCTGACGATTAGCACACAAGCTGATACCTTTTGCTACCAGCGAAATAAAATTTTCAAATTAATTGTGTATTTGTGAATGTTCATTCGAGGGACATACAAAGCCAGTGGGCAGATTCGAGCAAACCTTTGATGACACGTCGCCAACTATTTTGGTATACCATGACGGCAACTTAATAAACTGAAGTGCACGACAGCTTGAACTTTTAAAGACTGGAGACAGGTTGCTGCGTGAAATTCCATTTTGCTATCAAGATGAACAAGTGACCTGGTCCCGAAATGGATAGAAGAGTGACAAAGATCTCAAGCTCCATGACGCAACACACTCGTAAATTCACTGTGTTATGTCCTTTCCTTCGCAGAGCTTTCCCCAAATGAAAACTCCTCTGCAAGGTCCATTCCCAATTCCGACTCTCGACCAAAAACTATGGAGGCGTGGTTGGCTGAAATTACAGGAGTTAGGAGCACGTTGGGATAACGGCCACTGAGCTTTTCGCTTTGGGTAAAGGGAATGACTGCGTCCTCGGTTCCATGAATGACACGAACACGAAGGCCAGCCCTCAGGAGCACCTACACCCAATTACAAAACACCATTGTGAACACAGACGCTTGAGTAATCAACCAGTAGGTTGTTTGAGTAGATTATGCAGGTGGATAAAAAGTTCCTTGCTTCACATACATTCGTGTTGTGAAGTGTACGTATTTATTATGTGCAAATGATGCAGGGCCTGACAACAAAGTACATAAAACAAGCAGGACCGTGAGTAGAATCCTTCACCTGTAAGCAGTGGTCTGCCGCTTGAGCACCATTGCAAATTGTGTTATGGAATAGGTGCCAAGCTGAGTGATGCGTGTGCTGCATGAAGTCAGTCACAGATGACAGGGGTATCCTGAAACATCCAGCCACAGATTAAGCGCTTGACTCATGTCCAATTCGCGACACGAATTTACGACGACGGGTTATTCCCGAATGTTTCTGACCAATATACAAACACACGTTTTGGATGTCAAAGATAATATCTCGCTTGATCCGAAAGGAACATTCTGTCTATCCAGTAGAGAAGGAGCGGTACCTGTGGCCGGGAATGTTCGAGTGGAGAAATCTTAACAGCGGCTCCCAGACTCGATGGTTTTTACAGATAATCAAACAAACGACCCGGCCAACGTGCTCGTACCACGACATCACTGCAGAACCAAATGCCATCAAGGGCCAGATTCTCCGAGGGGCCACTTGGTGCATGGTGTGAATACCAGGTGTGATTCCAGGTGTTGCGGGGAAGTAGGGCTGTGTCACCAAAAAATGTCGACGCAGATTCAGACACTGATCGTGAAATGGAAACAGCAATTTTAAAATTGCTGTACAGCTGCCAAATCTAATTCGAAAAAAACTGGAAGAAATTGTCCAAAAACTTCACAAAGAATGCAATGGCGACGCTTTATGCGGATGGATGATTTCCAACGTAAGCCAACGGAAAGCTTACGGGAGCAAGAAGTGTGATGGACTTCACTGCGGATGGAAACTGGGCTGCGAGGGCCAGTGCAACCGTGCAGCCCATGGAATGGGCCACGAGATGGAACTTCCGGATGCCGTGTAGTTGTATCAAAGATCGCTGGATCATGAGCACATGGTCAGCGAGGGTGTAGGAGTTGTTCAAAGGCTTGGGACTTTTCCCGAACCCCAAGATGTCCACTGCAAACAGACGATGATTCGCGCGTACATCCTGTGGGAGGGCAGGCATGACGGACTCGGTCCAGAAAGAGGAGGACGACAAAAACCCATGGAGAAAAATTACGTTGTTCTCTGCACTCCGAATTTGCCCGTCATCATCACCCCGAGATGACGCCCAAAACTCTGCATAAAATCAGTCGATTAGTCGAGTCGCATTGAAAATATCGGCTCTCACAGTGCGCTGCTTCTACGACTGAAGAACGCGTGAACTGAACACACGAACGGACCTTTATCGTCGACTCGGACGTACAAAAGTTGGTCATTCGCTTGCCACGAGACGCATTTCTCGCACCCACAATCCGACCAGCGCACCACTGGATTCTCGTCGCAACTCCTTGCCGAACTAAGTCCCTGTAATTTCGATCGGGCCTTGGAGAACATACCAATCCCTCGCCCCAAAACACGCCCGTGCTCCCGCGTCGAGCTCGACTCAGAGCCTCCGGCTTCGCCAGGCACCTCGCGGCTGCAGGAAACGGCAGACTCGTCGATCGAGGCCTCGCTGCTCAGACTTCTGAGCAGAGGAACGAGGTGCAGCTTCCGAGTCCCGGCTCTTCTGCGCTCATAAGAATGGACAGTGGTCGATGAAATTCTCCAGCTCTCCAACACGCCATCACCGGTTCCACCAACTTCCTTCGCAGAGCTCAACAACGGCGACGCGAACGAGCCTCGCCCGGGAGCAACATTCTTGCGGCAGTAACAGCTCGGCGACCGAATCTCCAACAACGAATCGAGCACTGCGAACACCGGGCACAGAAGCTGGTCGACGAAATCGAGCACCGCGAACACCGAGAACGAGATCTCATCGATCACAAAGTCGACCACTCGTGCGGACAGGCCAGCGCTGCTGGACCGTCGGCCCGGGGCGGCCATTGAAGGCAGGAATTCGTTCTCTCGAGGCACGGCCTCGACGCCGCTATCGTTGAATTTGCACCATCGTCGCTCGGCAAGTCCCGAGCCCCGTCCGCAAGAAATCGAGCGAGAGATGGAAGCGCGCGGGAAGCTGGCCAGCGTTCAGGCATCGCGACGAGTCGAGGGCGTCGCGTCGACGGGCGCTGCGCAACGTCTCCGAGACCGCGCCCAACGTGCGCCGCGGCTGCACATGAGTCTTCGGCCTCACGCCTACCTCCGACATTCCCCGACTTCCCTCTCGAAAGATTCCCCGACTCCACGAATCGGCCGCAGTCGTCGAGAATTTTACGTCAGGAAATGCGCATGGGGATCGATCTGCCCGCATCGACCGTCTTCTGTGATGGTACTATATGGCGCAGAGGTACTTTTCCATCATACGGTGCACTCGGGGACACATCGCCTACGATGAAAGCTTCTCGCTTTAGGCTCAGAAGTACAGTACCTGCCTTCTGAATGTGGGCCAGGATCTCGAGTAGATTTCGGTGACAAGTACAGCCAGTGCCTTCTGATTTAAGTTAATACATTAGTGACGTATTTATTCGTACCTCAAGTGCTTTAGGAGGTAACTAGGAGATTTTTTTTAGTATATTTTTCAATGTTAATGAATAATGACTTGTGATGTGTTTGGGTTCCACAGGCTTGAAAATAAAAAATCTCTTCGTGATATTATCAGGGCCAGGCAGTTGTGTTTTTGCTCGTTCGGTATTTCCATCTTTTTATGTTCATGTGTACTCCCTATTTAGTCCATGGCTTTGACTCGAGCTCTATTTTTTTAAATCATGACTCCACCAAACACCTCCTGGATGATCGAAGGAGACATCAAAAGATAATTCGACAACATCGATCATCACCTACTCGCGGGATTCATAGCAGAGTTGGTAAAGGAACAAAGGCTTCTTGGGCTTTATTGGAAATTGGTACGCGCTGGCTATGTAAACCATGGCGGAGTTTGGTGGAGTCATGATGGCTCCTCATTTAACTCTTAGAGGAGTTAAATCCGCATTTGGGTTTAAAGATTTCAAATCTCGAAGTTTCAATTTCAACCTATGCATATGCGTATCAATCTAAGCAGGGATACAGTACTGTGGATAGTGACATACAACAATTAATGTACAATAACTCTATTATAATAAAAAAATATGAACATGTATATATATAATTTATAGATATACTAATTAAATCATTCATCGTGATCCATTTAATTGGTGTAATACCATAAGAATGGTTAGTCAGGTTGAATTTCAAAAACCTCTAGAGACTAGTTCGTTCGCATTCATGCTAATTCACAAAAAGATGTGTTTATTGCTAGTTAGATTGACATTTGACTTCATAGACGCTTTGACGTTGAAATTTGTATGTACTTCATTGCGTTACAGTGAAATGTCATGTTAGACATAAAAAGATGAAAGCTTCAAGTACGTATCTTTCAAATATTTCGAGCGCAGTGTTAAGTTACCTAGGAGTAATCTGTCCAGAAGACACAACATGTCTTTTCACAAAATGAAGTCACTCGATTCAATTATAGGTTATCAAAGTGAAGATACTTCAAATGATTTATTTTTCTCACGAGGCATTACAGAGTTCTAATTTCTAAACAGACATAATCTTCGTACTGAAGTTGTGTGTGTCTGTATACACACATGAGCATATATATGTAAAAACAAACACGCATGTTTAAACACAATTTGAAGCAAATGTGTTCTCGGACTCCTTAGTGAACCATGAGAAATCCGAGGCTTTATTACAATAGACATGCGGTTCTGCAATTACAAAGTTTCCTTAGGGATCCTTGTGGTGTGAGCACAAGTCTGCTTGATTATGCTGGAGTTCTTTATGTACAGCATTCTAATAAGCACAGTTCAGAAATCCTGAAGGTGGATTGAGGTGAACCTTAAACTTTCACCTCAGAGGTGAACATGATGCAACTTGGACCTGAATTATCAAGGAGAAATGCCTCCACATTCCAATTAAATGCCGTCAGCCTTTCGACAGATATTCTAACTGCGCTTGGGGATCCTTTTGAAAGGCTTGAAGGTATTCAATTTGGACTTTCTAAGGTCCAGATTGCATGCTGCTCAGAGTGCCAACAATTACTCTACGACATCCCTGCTCTACGTAATCCCGCAGGATGTAATTGATGTATTTGATCATAATTTACAAGGAAGACTATCAATGGTGTGAATCACCAGAAGAAAAACGACTTGCTATTTCTGTTCTTGCGTACTCTCTGGATCATTCTTTTGGTCCAGGCTGATCATATCTTCCCCTCCAGTCAAGGGACGATAACATTCTGTTCATACTCAACACCTACGGCGGACAATGCCACCATAAAAAGGTGGTGCGACAACAAGCTTTGCTAGTAAGTAAACATCGGAGATGTGAGGGAGGATCCTAACTTGATTACCTTGCCTGACAGGACCTGTAAGCCATGTAATCAACTTGACTTGCCATGACTTAACAGCTTTTATGGGTAATACTGTGAAGTCAAGGTAGATGTGTGCTTGAAACATCGAAGTGAACGATATACAGTCCTAAGCGCTTGACGGGTTTTCAAAGTGTACTGCCAGTTGCTCCACATCAGATTGGAGAATATCTACATTCTGCAACAGGAATTTCTTATCAGTAGAGTAATTTTCACATGTCCGTAGCTCTACGGCATCTCGATTTCAGATTAACATATGAAAAACACCAGTAAACTTGCAGCATCTTCCACTGATCCTTACCCAAGAATTGAGTTTTGACCACTTTTGTACTTCGAGAGCTGCACCAGTGAGGTGGCGAAATGCAGGTGAAGTCATTTTGCTTGAGTAGTGAGATCTCTCAGTTGCTTCAGCTACCCACAGGCGGTTGCTTTGATCTCTGTGCTTCAACCACAGGTTACAGTAACCAACCTGGAAGAATGAAACAAATACTTAATCAACCTCTCTTCATCGATGAGCTCACTATCCATGAGAGGTAATGATGAGTCACATTCATTCAAAGATTTAAAAACAGTGATCAACGTCAACTTCAACAACAGTATCAATTGAGAACCAATAACCTGAACTGATTAATTTATGCATAGTATAGCCTGAACACAATAGACCTAATCGAGAATTATGAAAATAAAGATTAAAGACGGAATAGCAGGCTATAGAAAGCAATTGAATGGAAACGGTATAGAAGAGGATCAAAACACAGCTCAATGAGCAACAAACACTTATGATTGAGCAGAATAAATAAGAAATGCCATTCAAATTCATGAAATTAAGTAGAAAGCTTGAAATTGTCAACTCAATGTTCTATCACTTCTCATCCTCAAAAGTCACAAACTAGCGATTCAATTGAGCTCAAGTGCAATTTCCAAAACAACCTACAGGAACGATGTAATAACCAATCGATCAAATATATCAACCCTAGTATGGAAGTACGGTAGACTCTTAAAAGACTCCTAGTCATGGTTTATGCCATAACTTGAAAATAGAGTACTCTCTCTGTGCTACTTAGAGATTTACCTTCACATAAAAGAAAGTCTACACCTTTTGAAGCATATGAGTACTCACCACGGAACCTACGAGGGTTTTTTCAAACGAAACAAATGCTTGCTCGGGCCAGCTGATTTCAATCGCAAGGACCTGAGTTTCCTCCCACGCGTCCGCGGCATCACCTTTGGCACAAGAGCCATCCGTCATGAATGCCCATTGAGACTTTGCTCTTCCACGAAATGTGTCCCTAGTGACGGGATCCGTTACCAAAAGTACCAACCCAACAACATCGAATTCTCTGAACCAGACAAGTTTCGAATTAATATGGAGGTTAAAACTACTCGTCAAAAAGATCTGGCTCAACAAAGAGGAAATCTAAGAAGAAAGACGTAAATCTGCATCAAGCGTCAAGATTCTTGAGGAACCAACCTGCACGGCATATATTCGCTGAGATTGGATATTGGCAGAGGAAAACGCGGAACGTACGGAAACCTGTATAGCAAGCTGTGAGACAGACGGTACACTGCAAAGTACTAGACTCCTGAGTGGCGTGCAAAAACTCTGGGAAAATGCTTCCTTGTAATAAGAGAATGCAGATTATATTGAACAAACTTTCATTTTGATCAGCTAAGGTTTTGCTTTGCGCACCGATGACGCGAGTACCAAAAGAGGGTGGAAAAAGAACCATGAAAGGCTAAGTAGCTACATGCCCATGAGCACATTTAACAGGTTTGTCAGCTAAAGCTTGAGGCAGAGGGCCTCACTCAAAATGTTTTTCCAGAGTTGAAAACGACACCGGTTGCCATCTTGTTGAGTTAAATGAATGATACGATCCTTTCGTGGATGGACGCAGCCCGTAGACGCAAAACACCTTCCCTTCTTGTAGCTGCTCTTGCTGCACGGGACGATTCGCATAAGTATTGGAAATCGACGGCAACAAAACTGGAATGATAATTCTGAAATTGATGAAATGAAGAAGTCACCAAGATAGGCGTTGTATCACTACCAGCTCTTCAGTAGCATGCCAGATTGTAACCAGACCGTCCTTGTCTGATCCTGGGTCTCCTTTGCGATTTAATCCTACTACACGAACTTTGAAGGTTGGTGTTACTTCTCGCGATGCCAGACCATGAAGCTCAAGTGCATTCCTGATCAGGTCTCCTGTCAAAACTTGCCTGGACTCCTGTATTTTGTGAAGAAAAATCAATATGTTGCTGATGAAGGTAAATGGTGTAGAGGAGCAGCTGTTGTAAAACTGAAGCTGCAAAAAAATTGTTCTTACCTCTCTTCGAGCTTTGAAGGCTGCAAAAGCATCTAATTGAGAGCGTGTCATGCCGAGCAGGAGGCTTTCAGGATCGGTTGTTGTTTCCAGTGCAAAAAATAACTTTGCTCCTTCATCTGAGGAGCTGTCCCTATCCTCTAGCTTCTGAATTGCCTCTTCCGCCACTTTGGCACGCCTAACGCAGGTAGGAGACCAGAGTCAGAGACCACGAATCACTTACGGACATGGATTCAACAAGGGAAAAAACTTCGTTCTATATACGACTACTCTGATAAGTCTTTGCTATTGCCAGAATATAATTACCTTTTATCAAAATCATGTGCAGCCAGGTCTTCTGCACGCTCAGATCTCAAAACATAACCACCACCAGCGAGTCTGCTGACATCGAATGGAAGGACACATTGAGAAATTTTCACTTTGATAAAACTGAGTGACAGAAGGTCAGATGACCTATTTGTCTCATTAGTGACAGACTTCCATCGCAAAATAAAACCCCAAAAAGTCTACAATTTCCAGACGGTTTATGTTTGAGAACCTCACTTCTCTCTATGAAGTAAGGGGTATCTCCGTGTTATGGCAACATAAGTGTGGGGAATCACTCCACCATCGTGTGTAATGCACTTGAACGCAAGCGGTGTTGCTGTCCCACCTGCAAAATGAAAGACAGATGGGCAAAAGCTATGAGGACATGTGTAATCCCATCAAAGGTTTGAATGACCTCGCATGTGCACAGCAATGGAGGTAAGTCACTCACAGAAACCCAAACGCTGGTCCCATCGGGCCCTACGAACGCCATTTGAGTTGATACACAGATAAGCATTATCAAACGCCTGCATCCAGCAAATCTTCATGTCAATCCAGAGGTTGGCACATCAGATCACGACGCTCAAACACATATGTTGCTACCCGCAGTGCTCCTCAAAAGCTTACAAAGAAGAGTAAGGTCAGAGTTATAAGCGAGTGCAGGAAAAATTGTCACCTGAAGAGGTGGTAATCCATCAGAAAGACCTTCCAAAGTTGCTCCACATACCTACAGAGGGCGGCCAGAATTAACATAAAGGACTTCAACAGGCAGATATCAGCTGAATCATCCACTTGAGTTGCAACTAGGATCAAGACTCTTACCACGATTTTCTGTCCAGCCTTGAGTTTTCCACTGTGAATGCGCCTTGCAAGAGGTACATCAACATGCGCATTCAGTCTATACCTGCTCAATCACAGAACAGTAGAACATTGTGAGATCAAATTCAAACTTAAAAATCAAAACTTTGAGCATTTCTCTAGAGGAGTGACCTGCTCTATTTGCAGCGAAACGAGAATTTACCATCCATCAGTTACTTCGATGACGCCCGCTGGAGGAAGCTTGGCCTTATTTCCTTCAGCGTTATCTCTATTCTCGATCCAAATTTCATAAAAATGTTCAATGTCCTTAACACTCCGAACTGCTGACACACACAAGACCATAGTGTGACCTGCAGAAGAATCTCTCTCTGTCACTCGTTTCAGAGCTGATCGTTCCCCGTTCAACTCCCTATCGTATCTGCACAACACCAGAATCGAAAAATCACACTGAACATTAAACTTGCCTGTTAAAGACGACTTCCACATAAAAACCACATAACTTGATCCCCGAATTGAATCTGTCAACCTCATTGCTCTCCACTCAAAAACAAGCTTCAACATAGCTTTCAATACTTGTCAGTTTGAAAATCAAGTGTATACCTCCCAAAAATTTAAGTCCGATATTCTTTAATTGCCTCGCAGAACTTCGCTGATGATGAATGCAATTCTCAGGGTTAATCTTGTGAATTAAGATGTGGGTTTTGTTAGTGGAATACCAACATGGTTGTGGATAACGAGTACAGTAAAGTTCAAATTTCGGGAGGTAAATCCATTACCTATACCGGAGCTCATTCAACACAGACGATAATGTCAGCAGACAGGCCTTCGGACGAGGAAATCTACGGTCGTATGACGCCAATTTCCACACAATCCATTTGAAGTGGTTAGCCACCCACCTACAGGAAAGAGTCATACGACCATGTCAATCACTGACGCTCAGATCCTCAGTTCAAGAGAACGAAATGTAAGTAAGTCACCGTGTCCATACCCTTTGCTGGCGTACCGTTGATCAGCTCCCAAGTCTTTGAGCATAATCCAAACTTCGTCCACACTAACACCCGTTCCTCCGTCAGGAATTCTATAAGTCTCAGCTGTGTCTGCAGTTATTGACAAAACTTCCTTCGACAAATTGGAGAGAGTCTATAGGAGTTCATCACATATGTACCACACAGGCAGCCGAGGTGAAGGAAAAAATTAGATTAAAGACTAGACAAACAGTTGAATCATCTGAAAAGGATGTCTAGAGGAAACGAGTAAACAGATGGTTAGATGTTGAAACAGAAAAAAAAATTACCTTGGCACCCGGATGAGGAGGTCCACCAAAGTATTCACTCAACTGCAATCGACCTCGTTTTATTCGTGATTTCTTTTCGTGAAGGTAATGTAAACCATCAGGTAAAATAAAGTTCCGCCGTGCAGCAGTTACAATGCCGGGTTGGAAACCAATGTACTTTCTTCGATCAGGCAAGCTTAGTGAGGGCCTGCGTGGACGTGATCAAAGTAACACTGTCAGTTGTGTGTGAGTTGTGTACACTTCGAAAACTCGTGACGAGGACTAAACTCGTATAAAATGCACGAGGCGATGGAATGTCGGGCAAAACACCAAGTGCAGCCCAGCTGACAAAATTCTATTCCTTTGGTGACAGAACCTGAGTATTCTTGGCGCCTTGAAAGCCCTTGACCCACGCCCGCTTCCAGACTCGCTCTTCTCCTGTGCTCTTTTGTCTACATCGTTGATGGCCTGCTTGCGACCATGGTTGACAGCACTCGTATACTGTTTGCGTTCTTCAACTTCTAGCAACGACCGCGCATCTGATTTTGAGGCCTTAGTTCTGAACTCAAATGAAGGTTTGCGTGCTTCAAACTTCGGCGGGGTCACAAATTCAGGACCAAGCTTCAAAAGAGCTTCCGCTTTCGCTTTGGCTGCGCTCGAGATTGTCAATGTGCGTCCGGAACTACCCTTGAAACTGAAACTCCCGTTGCCTCCCTCCAGCGATGCATCCTTTCGAACCTCAGCGTGACGGGAACCCGCTAAGTAGGGACTCTCCTCAATCGTTGCATGATTGAGAGCTGCCGATTTTCCAAGCCCGGCTTCAACAGCAAATGACCCAGAGATGTCGCGGTTGGCACGAGATTCAAGGCTAAACCCCAGCCGGGGCTCAAAGATTCTATCCCACTGATATCGAATGTAATTCGCTCTTTCACGAAGCACAACCTCCCCGGGAGACAGTTTAGACTTCGGCTCGGCATTTTCCGTAAATTCAGGATGATCTGTGGAAAACCCCGTCCTAAACCCGCGCATTGGAGTTGTTCCGTGAAGTGTTGTTACTTCGGGCGGGATAACTCGAGGGAGTGAATTAGCATCATGACGACATCCTGAGAGAAGCTCCCGACTTGTGTCCTGATTCTTCACGGGTACGAGGAATCCTGCTGCAGGCAAGGTAGAAGGAATAGAGGTAGCACTCTTCTCCTCAAGATCTCTTGGTATGGCACCGACCCCTTCCCTGCTCGGTGGTGGGGTAAGATCTTCGTCTTCAAAAATGTTTAAAATCTTTTGCAGCGCTGCAGATGAGATTGTTACAGGTGTATCTCTCGCTGTCCGGAATAAATTTGACCTCGACGCGCCAGCACTTCCAGTCCCAGAGGAATCTCGTCGCCCTATGGCCCCGTCGTTCACCCCTCCTATGATGGAAGGATTTGCTCTTCCTTTGACTGCACGAGAAGAAAGAGCTCCAGAACGTGAATTGTGAGCTAATCCCTCGTCTTCTACAGAGGGTTTAAGGATCATCACATCTTCCTTCGATGGTAAAGTTTCAGGTGTTGAAAAAATTGGTTGCACTCTCTGTATACTCTCAGCAGAGACATGGACAGGTAATCCCCTTGCAGTTTGAAAAAGTGATGCCGTTTTGCCCTGCGTGCCAGCTTTTCGAGCTTGATGTACGAGGGAGATTTCTGGACAATCGACATCTTGCACTGACAGGGAGCTGTGATACAGATTTTTCCTCACAGATTGAAGAGAATGGGCATCAGCGAGAGCTGGAGAAGAGGAAACAGTTTTATTTCTTGCGGCACATTTTGGAGGCGTGAAGACATTCGCCCGGGATTCACGACCTGGAGACACATCTTCAAATAATGATGCGACTCTGCTAATCGCTGATGCAGAAATTTGAACAGGATTTCCCTTGCCCGTCCGGAAAGCATTCGAAAATAGCTCAAGCTCTTGGACCTTCCCACATCCATGGGCTGGTCTGGACGAAACGAATTCCGGAGGCCCAAGACGCCACAACTCCTCATTATTTATGGGCATAGCGTCATATCCTCGGATAGATGATGAATCACAAGCAGCGCCCTCGCCATTCGGGGGCATCGGGCCCCTACATTCACCTCGTTTCTCCTGTCCGGGATAAAAATCATTGACAGTAACTTGTGCCCCAAGTCCGTCCAAGGACTCCGCCCGACTTCCTGTACACGAAGAGCGGCTAAATTTCGCACCTTCCGGTCGTCGAAACACTCCGTCAGTGGCGCATCCTCTGTCCACTGCTTCCCTCTGTGGTCTTTCGTCGAAGTGAGTTCTCTCCGCATTGCCAACAGATTCGACCCTGTTCTCCACATTTTGATCGCAGGGCGGTCGAACTGGAAGAGAGCTTCTGACGAACGACTGCGGACTAATGTCGCCAAGCTTGGGGCAACCTTTGATAGAAGAATTTTGAGCTACGGGAAAGCCTTCGGACTCAGAGTCGTCCTGCGAATCTTGCACCAAACTATCCTCGAAAACTGCAGGCACTTGACGTCTCGTGCGAGACTCACAATATGGTACAACTGGAGACGGAAGCGTCCCCTCCGACTCGTCTGGGAAGCGAACGGGTCCTGCACAACCAGGGCCTGCTGTTGGCCACAAGGCCGCAATTGACTGGTCAGCATTTCTTTTAGCTTTCTTGTTTAGCGTCTCGACGCTTGATACGAGCTCAGGCCGCTTCAAAGTCACCGGCAATGTACCGTACCTGCTTTCCTTCGTCTGTGCCTCGCAATCGTTAACAGAGGATGTGGTCCCAGAGTTCGGTGTCATGAGTGAACCATTCTGCCTCGTTTCGTCAGACATGCGTACTTGAGGGTCGAATTTCAGCTCCGTCGTCCTCACTCCTGAAGTTCGATGCAATCAAGAAGTATAAGCGACGGGAATCCTTAAATGCTCGTCAGAGAGTCATGCCGACCACATCGTCAAGGATACGAAGAATCGAGGTTCCATCGGAGGCGCATCTCGAATCGAAGCGTTAAACTGAATCCATTCCAAAATCAGCGTAATCAGAAAAGTAGATTGCGAACCTTTGCCAGGGGCCACTTCCTCGGGCACTTTTGGGGTGACGATCAGTGCTCGTGGCCGAGCAATCTGACTGAGCTCCCGTTCGCCACAAATGGACGCGGGGCCAGGTGCTGATTCTCGTCTTGCCAAGAGGCCCTGGATGACGTCACTGCCGCCAAAACTCAACCTGCCTTTTTTCAAAACCGGAAACGTGTGCTCTTCTACTTCCTCCTGGGACGCTGAACCCTCGACCGCCTGCTCATCGGCCCTCGCGTCGGGCTGGACACAACAAGAGAAACCCGTCGTTAGAACATGAACGCTATGGAGGGTTCGGAGGTTCGATTGAAGTAAACGGGGGAAGGAGGAGGGCAAAACCATACCAAGAATCGCACTCTGCGCTGTGTACTCGTTCGAATAGTGGATGCTTTGAATGCCGGCGGCTTCGACATAGACGATTTCATCTTGGCGCAATTGCCGGACCCGTCTGAGGATACATAATCTTGCTCGTGTGTAGGTTCAAGCCTACGTTTCGAACCTGGCAATATCGCGACAGAAATTCCAGGTAAGGTTCACGAAATCCTGTCCCACTGACATGAGGCGAGCACAATCCGACACCTCTCCACCAATCTTCTCTGTCGATATCTCTGGTACGAGATTCGTACGCTAGCGACACACAACGGGGGCAGAATTCATTACCTGCACAAGCCGGTGCAGCATCTTGTGAAGGTGGATACTTCTTCGTCTCGGCATCAAGCTGGTCCTTCAGAATCTGAAGGCTAGGTGCAAATCTCTCTCCGGTAGTTTCGATAGGTGTGACGGTAGAAATGAACGAATATCTCGTTTCAACAACTCCATAGCTCCACATCCGGGAATTTGGATTTGAATCCTGGCTGAGCTTCATCCTCGTCTGGCTCTTGGGGGGAGATTCCCAAATTTGCACTTCCTTACTTTCGAGGCGGGAAGACATGATGGCTGCGTCCGAGCAATCACCTGTGTTCCTCGAGTTTGCAGCGTCAAGTGACACTTCCGTCCCTATCGCCTCAAGCTGTCGGAAACATTCGGAGGAATAGCAAGTCACTTATTGTGGAATGTCCTGGAGACGATACTGAACGAGGTCGAACATAACGGATGAGGTGAATGTGGTGAGGACTGGTGATCACGTTCTCTGACATTCGGATACTTAGATCACCTTCTTTCCTCAAGCGGCACGATGCTCGTGGGTTTACTATGAGACACCGCACATGTCAACATCCGCCACGCAAGTTTCGTGAACGTACGAATGACCGTCACACAAATAAATCGAAGAATCAATGAAGTAGAGACGGGCAGAGGTGGAAGAAAAAAACGAGTCCTCCTCCACAGATAATTCCGTCGGATTCGGCACAGTCGACCCTACGGGAGTAACGGGAGTGAATCACAATTCTTGTAATCCACTGTTAATAAACTTCTTCGACCGGCCAACGGAAATAGCTGGAGCTTGCATTACAGCGCGAGTTGTATATCGTGGAAGAAATTCGACTGCACCATAACTCCAGAGTCGGGCAGATTGGGTCATCGATACCGGACACAAATATGAACTCAATCAATGCGGACTCATTTTAAAGTCACCGTCGTGGACTTGTGGCCGGCCTGTCTCTCGCTTGACAGACAGACCGAGGCTGCAAAGAGTCACGAAGAATTGCTCCACTCCCGCGACGTCTTGGAATAAAAATGGGCGTCGAACTTTATGCGGCTCGTCATGAGGCGGCGATCGGGTCCAAGTTAATTACATGAACAAGAGAGGCACAGTGGCATGAGCCCTGGAACGATTTCCCACCTGTGCACCAGTGAACTAGCCCTGCCCTTCATCATTCATGACCTTCAATGTCATTCAGCCTATGTCTCAGCAAAATACGAATTTGCCAGGTCCCAGATTGAAACTTCGACGAATCAAACCTCCTCCCGCTTTCCGCCGCAGCTCTCCGAACCCAACCGCATGCAAGTTCCACAAAGCGAAGCGGGCGACACTCGACCAGTCAGTCAGTCAATCGCCTTCCACGAAACGCATGAACAGGAAATAACAAACCTCCACAGAGGTTCACGTTCTCGTCCTGCGACAGAGCGCACAGCGCCTGTCTGAAAAAATCCAAACGATTGGGGACCGAGCCGAACAAGAACTCCAACGCAGCGCCATAATCACGCCATAATCCCGTCACACGCGACGAGAAATTCTCTCCAAAGGATCGAAAAGGAAACGAAAACTATAATCCGCATTAGCCGACGAAATCCCCACGACGGGAAACATTTGGGAGAGGCCCTAAACTCGCGGCAGGAAACAGCGGAGCTTCGAAGAGGAGGACATTTGGCGGGGGACGAGAGCGACAGAATTGATGGCGCCATTCAACAACTCTGACGGGTGCCCAGATTAAGGACCACCAGCGGAGAATGACGTAGAAGAACCGGGACGGGGACGGTCCTACGACGACCACTGATGCCATTCAGTCCCGCCTTCGAGGCCTCGTGTGTCCTTCATTGAGCGCCTGGCGGCAATGCGTCGCCGCGCCATCGTGAGTCGGAGTTTTGGCGGGGGCGGGAGATGTGGCGCGTGCCACCTGTCGCTCCAAATATTACATTTTGTCGTCCATTAGTAAAAATATCCTTCTGTAATAAACAAATACCTACTTCTCGTCAAGTGTTACAACTACACTAGTAGTTTGGAGAGGACCACAAATGACGGAGCGAGGAGCGATGTCAAAAGGCACCATAAAGGGTGCAAAATTCTGGCAAGCGGATCTCAAAGGAAAAGAATCAAGTTGATTGTTTTCTCGTAACTTCTCTATCAAAACTCAAGAGTGAATTTTAGACGCATGGAAATAAAAGCTGATGTGGATCCCATTTGCAATGGAAGAACTCTCAAGCATGGAGCAAACACCCCACCGATGATTTTCATGTAAACGAAGAGATATCTCTCTCGCAATAAATGATGATGTCTCTTCATAGTTAAACCTCCCAATAGTGATTTACATTGGTGCTAGGGTTTTCGTTACTATTGGGACCTGTAACTCGGAGCAGTAAAGTGGGTAACCTTGAGTATAACTTCCTAATAGTAACATGTATTGTGTTAGGGTTGGATGTCACTATTGGGATATGTCACTTATAAAAACAAAACGAATAGACTTCTTATCATATAACATGAGTTCTAGGACATTTTATAAATGTGTTGTTTGGCTTCCAAATATTGTACACTAGGATTAACGTAGGTGTTATAATTGAGTTTGAATTCAGATTAAAACACAAAAATCTGAGTAAAAAAAATTGATGACATAATATATAGCAAAATATTTTAGTGAAGTCCACAAAGAATGAATTGTTGAGATAGACCTTTAGATAAAAGTATGCCACATTTTTTTAGAGCTATACATTGTGATCATGATAAGAATTTGAACTTTGAAATTACAGTTGAAACTGTCACTGTTGGATAGTTTTATGTCACTATTGGCAATAGTGGTGTATTGTTCTTATTGAGCAGATTTGCAAGTTAGAAACTAATGGTGTTGTAATTTCTACTTCACTCATAAGAGGTGACACTATTGGGAGGTTTAACTCTATAATTGCATGTCTACCTCCGCCACAAGCAAGTTTTCTTTGCGACATGTGCAAAATAAACCATCTTTCTTTCAATCGCATGGATCAAGTCAGGTATTAAATGTAATGCAGATGTCTTGTATAGAGTATTGGATTAGATCACACGAGGATATGTATGCAACCATCCATTGTCACAAAAGGGTGAAGTTTGCTATAGATATGAGATGCAAACACTCCTTGTCTTTGCTTTCTATATTATATCGAGCAATTGCATGATTGACGTCTTGCGGGTCCATACATGCTAAGTGTAGTCATGATGCATCTAGGTCTCGGCCACATTATTATGTGACCATGATAGAGGTTGAAAACCTAGATCAAACACAACCAGTCTCAGCTACGTTTCCATGTAAGCAATAGTTGTTTATGAAACTCAATTGTAATCACATTGTTGTGAAACATGTGGTACAGACAGAAAAGATAGAAAGTCACGCAATCAATCGTGTGGTTAAAATTTACAACATGCCAGCTTGTCCCTAATGCATCTAGCATTCTGCCACCTTTTCATTTAAGCATGATTGAGGTTGAAAACTGGATCAAGTCCGATCAATCTTAGACACATTCTCCTGTAAGCATGAGCCATGTCAAATTTTATGTCATCTATTTGATTCAATGCATGTGCGCCGATGACTTGAATTATGGATGCTCTTGTAATAAGAAAACAAAGATGGAGATACTTCGGCAATCATCCAGCAATAATAAGAAGGAGGTAGGATTGAAAGTGGACGTTTTTTAAAAAATCACAGTAGATCACTCTTGTATCGTGAAGCAGGAAGATTTAACATTATGAAATTTTCCAAGTCGTTCTGAGGCACATGGGGATAGGATGTTTCATGTCTCTTAGATGTTTATCCAATGTGGTATGCTGTCAATGTGTAAGCATTCTAAGATGAAGGCATATCCACAAATTCCGAGAACCTATTAGCTTTCAAGTCAAAGGGATTCTCATGCATAACTTGAATATCAAGAGAGAGCTGTGATGAAAAACAAAATTTTATTTTCCTCCATTGAAGATCAACTGACAATCACAAGCAAGATCAAATGTGATCAAAGAAGTAGCAACTCAACTCATATGTTGCACGTATATTGTGCACATACGTTGCACAATATGTGTGTAGTGTATCCCATATAGATAAACACAACCATGTGATTTTATGTATGATGCGAGATAGTGTGTCATAGCACAGTCTAGTTCATAGTTTGAGAGTGATCAATAAGTGTGAGTTTGATTTCAAACTCCACACGAATGTAGGATGTTAAATATGAAACCTTTTTCGAAGAAAATTCATTGTCAAACACACTTAAAGAAAATTGAAATCAATCAAAATTAATAGAAGATAGAAATATCCCATATAGTCTTTCATGGACGAAGAAAACTAGTAACACGTCACTCGCCCCAAAACATCGTGATGGATTATATGTTGTAGAACACTCAATATAACTGATGTCACATTCTTATTACAGCCTTGAATGAATATATATATATATATATATATACTGCTCTACGAATAGCATTTGGTAATGCAATCTGATCATGGATCATATTATAACTCTATCTAGCTCCCGTCGTCATCTTTCTTAAAACTCAGTTAGTCTGGTTTGAGTTTTGCCACATAGTCATGACAGTGGAGCATTGTAGATGATGACCATCAGAGTTCTGATGTTTCATCGTTTGTTCCAATGGGTAAAAACGAGACGGATTCTATTTCTTAATCCCGAGTTCTGTCAACCTAGCTGCATTACCTACGCCAAGGCTTTGTGTTGTTCGGTGAAACATGAAAACATTAAAATTTATTGGGACCATATCGTGTAGGGAGAAATCTAAGGGGCTCATTATGGTATCCTTTTAAGATAACAAACTGAAAGGTCAGAGAGATTTACACTCCTGCACTGCAATGGTCGCATTACCAATCGGTATCGGTGACCTTAGTTTCTTCTTCTGTCACCCCAATGAGGTTTCTCCAACGCCAGCCATGTCTTCTAATTTCTTCTCTCCTTGTTTGCATTAATGTGTTGAAAGTCCCATGGTCGAGATTGCAGAATGTTGTGTCTGTATTTCATAAAACCACGTCCATCAATATGGGGCACAAGGGACAATGGGATCGGTTAGATCTGATTATTCTAAAATAAACAATCGAAGATACTAAACCATTTAGTAGATGCTGACAGAAAATCCTCTTTCCGTGGAGGTTCAGGTACCACAGCAGCGGTTTTTCTTCTGTCTCAAAAGTATCATAATGATTCCAAGTTTGTCCTCAATCGACCAGTAAGATAACTTTCTAGGGAATCTAGGGTGAGGGGAAACTGGCTGAGCTTCTTAATAGGCCTCAGGATGAATAGGGTTTTAAACAATTGCCGCCGGCGGCATAAAATAGTGCGACGGCCTTGAATAGATTTTGTGAATGAAATTTTGGGTCCAGAATCCATATCCAAACTATCCGCTCATGATAATGTGTTAACTTTTTGTACGAGACAATGTCCGACTCATCCCAAAAAAATCTATCTCTTACTCTTCTTCCAAATCCTAGCTTTGTGGTTCTATCACAAATCCTTGGTTTTAATCCTTGGTAGGGAGACTCATCAACATTTGAGAGTCTTGAATCATTTCACAAGCTATCATTGTTATGTCTGTTTCATGAGAAAACTATACTCATGAGCTTCAGATGTCGCATATGAATTTGCTCCAAACCTGTTTGAATCATCTATCTGATGACATGCTCTAGGTTTAGACTTTGAGTTGCATTCCTATGTTCTTCCTTTCATTGAACCTTATTCTTGGAGATAACTTATTTGTGAGTGTGCCATAAGGAGCTTCATCTTGTGAGCATTTTGCATGTTTACCTTTGGAAGTCATATTACATCTACATTTGACATCACCTCATTTGTTCACATGGCAATACCAATTTGGGTAGAAAGAGATCACGCCCTTTCATTTAAAAGCCATACTACAATCTGTTTACGACATGTCGACTGTATTAATGTAATGATGGTTCAATGACCAGATAGAAGATACTCATTGCTGTAGACATCATAAGGCACACTCATCTCGCTTTTTATCGTTCCATCCTCAGGGATAAATTTGAAATTGATGCAGTTGAGCTCTGCAGCTCTAGTCCCCAAGTTATCATAACATTCGAGGTGTATGTGGTTAGATCTGCTGCTCATGTTCATAAATAAGAATCAGGTCTACAAAGGGACTAGTCCTCAATCCACTAGATTGAGAGCTGCTTACTGGGGTCGGACAACTCCGTAATGCAATTCAATCTTCTTTTCTTTGCCATCATGTAAATTTTTTGATCTTAAACAGTTTGTGTGGTATGCTTCCTTATCCAGTGCACCAATTTATTACAGGTTTTGAACAGATCCCCAACATTGGCGTTTTTGTCTGATACGTCGCCGATTCATAACTCTACTTGATGGATGAAGCCATTGGCTTCCTCATTCACTTCCGTCTCTTGACAATGATGGTGATATGATGGTGATGATTTGGGTAAAGTGCCTGAACAATGGATAGTCTATACAAGCATTGCATAAAGAACACGCGACAGCTAATATATATATTTGTAAAACCCTTAAAATCATAATAGAAACCACATTTCCATACATGAGCTCAAATAATGCAGAAAACTGCACAACATCACGCTGCTCAGTTTAACAACACAAGATTCTCCAAAGAGTACTTTCCATGACTCAACTTCATAGAAGAACATCATGGAATACGAACAGAAACTCAATTGAAGGCATCCAACAATGTCATTAGAAATATGAGAAGACGTTACACAAGTACAACGAAGTGAAGAACGAGCTAATATTGATGTTAAGAAAAGAAGCCAACCACTGCATTGCTGATTCTTCTCCGTGCTGAGAGCACAGAATTCTACGTCTCCGCCTGATCCCAGCAGACAACAATTCATTGCCCCCGTTACTTCCACAAACCTGGAAACCTTAGGCTGCAGCTTTAGAGAGCGTACCCTTCTCTAGCCCTACCATCCCTAACCAGCATCACTATAATGGTTATCCTACGCAGTACCCCATTATTCATGCTAACTCCTTAGCTACAAGAAGCTCGAAGGGAAGTCGAGAGGACGCACTCTACAACAAAACTTCTGAAGTGATTGTTACACTCTCACGGCTGGAAAAAAAGCTATAGACCCCCATAATACATCACTTAGTGCCAGGTGTGTTGAGTTCAGAGCGAGATCAAGTCTACTGTATAAGGGGTCTACCGGTGGGAATGGAGGGGAAGTCAGACAGCACCCTCACATGATCAGAAGATGTGTATCTACAATTAGAGGGCTTCAAGGAGGCGTGAACGTCTTTTGGCTGGCATATAACATCACCTACCCTACTGCTGTCCAGGTTATATCAACAATAAACTAAGTTTCAAAAAGGCTTGTGTAAAGACAAACTATGCCAAGAGCACCAGCATACCATCCCTACAATGAATGTCACTGTCCGTCATCCGCGCTAACAGAGGTATGACAGGACAGTGAGTGAAGTAGAAAGGACATAATCCCACCTTGCAATGGTGCCTTACAAATCGCCGCCCAATGCAACCGTTCCATCAATAAGAATCTCTAAAGAGGAATTTCACTAATCTTTGTCCACTTATCTTGCCTTGGAAAGTCAGACTCAGTATCCCATACCAGGCATTGGAGGCATGCCATATGCTGGCATTTGAGGCATACCACCGTAACCTCCAGCCATACCTGGGTCATAACCCCCACCCATACCAGGCATTGGAGGTGCAGGTAATGCCAACGGCAGGAGCTGGGCATACATGTTCTGCATTCAAAGAGTGACATAGGCAAGCGATTAGACTTCGAATCAATATTCATTCTCCAAGACAAACCTCAATATGCTAAACCAAATTCTTCGTACCGATTGCTGGATGACATCCTTCTCTTCTTTCTCCTTTGACTTCACTTCCAATTGTGCTGTTTCCTTGTCTTTGATGAGATCATCCACCTTGCTCGTGTACTCCCGCAAGAACTGGACGAAAAGAAGATTTTCCTAAGTTAGCATCAGCCAAGCACATCAGACCTGAAAATATCTCTCAAGGGTTAATCCACTTACCATTAGTATGTATGGGAAAGCAAAGTCGATGATGTTGTTCATCCAGGCCAATTCCAAAGCAACATCTGGTCGAATGAGATCGTAACAAGTATACAGGCAAGAGGCAAAGCATTCCTTCTTTCCCTGCAAAACAAGAGAGACAAAGAGCTCTTAATATTATAATTTAAATGAAATCTGCTCACATATAGAATCGGAACTCGAAGAACTGCCAAGCTGGTGTTTCCTGATCTCTGATGCAAGTCAATTGACTGCTCACAAACCACCTCTTGGAATGTGGAAACCATACCTGGTCAACGAAGAAGGTAAGCAGCTCTTCTGCAAGGTCACGGTCACCAGATTGTGAGGTGGTTTCCATCGCATCCTTGTACAAGTTGTCCTTCTTGGAAAGAGCGACAGACTGTTTCCACCGTCCAGCCTTCTTGTAAATGTAGGCGGCAATACGTCGCATTTCCAAGAGTTCGTGTTTCTCAACCTGTAATGCAATGAACCCACAAAAATTTAGATATATTGAACCCAATAAAACCATGGGTGAAAGCAAACGTTGGTGTTGCGAACCATAAGACATATATTTGGCTTACCCTCTGTGCCAAACCAATTTGATCAAAGTTGTCGTACATATCGATAGAATCTCGCAACCGATCGTAATCCTCCTCTTCAACGTAGAGCTCGTTCAGTGCTTCATTTACTGCACTTACGTTGTTACTTTGTACTCCAACCATATACGGTTTGACGAGGGGAAGATGTCCGGCCTAAAATGCACATAAACAAAAGTGTCAATAGGAGAGACGGAAAATGGCAAGCACAACAACTAGGCAATCAGCAACACTACATCAGAAGTACTACTTTCGGAGGAATATTAAAAAATGACATGAATTTGCTATCTTGACTGGGGAACCTCTAAGGACTGTTGAGGACCAAGTAAAGGCAGAAACTAGTGACAAGGGACGTCCAGGTAGATGGATCTCGACCTTCCGCATGATGTCCACAACGCGAGTATGATCAACTCTTGGAGCCAAAACGTTCAAAAGATCGTTGATAAGATCAGGATGCTCCTGCAAGTAAAAGTGCACAGCCTTGTAGTACAGCTCTACATTGGCCACCTTCACTGACACATCCTTAAATTGCATGTGGTCCCATGCCTCTGGAGAATGGTTCATAATTGTAGCGGCAGCATTGTCAAATTCATCGTACTGAATGTAGAGATAGGTAAGCTCCTTCCAGTGTTGCTGTTCGTCACAAACACGAATGAGCTTGGGGATGTTGATACGAGTACAGAACAATTTGATATGTTCCATGAGCTTTTCGGACCGGTATCTGGCGTAAAGGACTCCAAGCTCCGTGAAGATACCCATGTGAGCACGCTCGAGACCCAAACCGGTCTCCATAAGGGAGATAAGTTCATCAAAGCAACCTCTGTTCTGGTAATAGTCACTGACTTCTTCCAAATCATCGACCTGTAAGCCAAAATAAATTAAAAAGGTATGAGTAAAGTTGAAAAGTCCAACAAATTAGTTATCTATGAAAGCTCCACAATCAAAATATGTAATTCCGCTCCGCTCTATCACCCATTCAAAATCGCCAAGAAACAGAAACAGAAACAGAACCAGATAAATGTAGGTGCAATCATCATCAAGTACCTGGACGATGATGTTAAGTCCACAAATTTGTGCCAGCCTGAATTCCTCGGCATCCACACAGGCGAAGCAAACCTCCTTCCATGTTCTAGAGCTGTTGGCTTTACGAGCGGCATCGACAGCTCCTTGAAACTGCTGAAGCTTCACCAAAGTACTTGCCAACCGTGCCCAGTTGGATATATGGGTGAAAATAATTTTGGCAGCTTCGTACAGAGCTTCATCAAACAACCTATCTCCAGCGGTTTGCATGTTTGCCACATTAGGCTGCACAATAAACTCTTCAATTTCGCCCAGCTTATCAATTTTCGCATAGGCGTAGATCAACTCTGAGTCAACCTTAGGTTCCTTGACCTTCTTACGTACCATCAGCAGATACTTAACGAGATCTTCATAGGCGTTGACCTGTGATGCGGCTCGGATAACATCGTTGAATTGAGTGGCATCGTTTGCACGGATGAAAGACTCGATAGCATCGCTGACCAAACCTTCCCTAAGCTGGGCTTTTCCAACTTGGCTCCAGACTTCGTCTTCCTCAACGCGGTTAGCAAACTCCACGGCACGATCAATGTTCCGGATGTTGTCAAGGAGAACGTTGACAGCTTGCACGTTGAGGTTGAACTTCTTGAAGATAACAAATGCCTCCTCGTAGAGCTCCGCACCCACCGCGATTTCTCCAACAGCTGGACCGTCAAAGTTGTCAAGACGATTGATGTAGTCCATAACTCTGGACTTATCAGCCTTGATAGCAGTAAGGATGAGAAGATTTTGAAGATTAGGATTGCCGCTGAAGGCGGAATTCTGGAGAACGATTTTCTCCAGCAACTCGATCAGCTCATGTGGCAAGTCTGCAGTCATGAAAGCCTTGACTGTAGCTGACACCTGTTCAGGGTTCTTGCTCTCAGGTAATGCAGTTGAAACAACTTGGTCAATAAGCTGCCGTCGGAAAGGATTCTCTGGGTCAAGAACTTTGCCCCAAAGGTCAGGTTCCATACGCTCGACCACATACCTGAAAAACCAATAAAGGACAGTTCGATTATTTTTCAGAACAGTAAGAACGAGCTGCGCCCATCAAACTTGCAGAAAACAAGGAACTTCAGCTGCGCTTGGACACAATCTTCAAAAGGCTGGAGCATCAGTCTTACCGGGCTTGAAGCTTGAAAAGAGAGTTCTTATTGGTGACATTGACCAACTCTTCGTCACATTGACCTCTTCTATATGCAACCACTGCCAAAGTAGGGTCGCGCTTCTCGCAATACTTTCCAACCACTCTTGAGTCATAGTATGGATTTGTGGTCAGGAAGTGCTCAGGGTTGTGATTGGTATCAATGATGATCTTTCCGAGAGCATTGTGCACATGCACATCCTGACTGCCTTCGCTCACCAGATGTTCGAGGAACTGAGTCAACAACTTCAAACGGTTCCTGTTGAGTAGCGGAAATGTCAGTAAACCATTGAGTTTGCCAACATCAACACTCCATGAAATAAGTGACTAACCTGCTCGGTAATTGAATCAGAAACTAACAATCAGAATAGTACCTTTTCTCACATTCAGCAACCAACGGCTCAACAGGTAGCAATGATCGGACAGAAAGGATGAGTCCCTTGATAAAATCTTCAGGGCAATCATCATCCAAAAGCTGGCCCACTACAAGTGGAGCATTGCTTGGGTTGACCTGTGACAAAAAGTCGTATCCTCAGTATCACTTCCGGCGTTTAGTAGCAAACCTGTATTCAGATAAGATGAAAATTCAGCATAACGAATATTACCTTTTGTACGTAGCCTTCAATATACCGAAGCATGTTGTTAGAGTACAAGTAGTGTGTAAGGTCTGGCACAAATCCAAAGCGATCGCAGACGTTAATCAATGGGCGAGCGTCTGGAAGTTTGGCCTCCATTAAAAAGTTCTTGGTCCTTTCTGGATCGTAGAAATTTGACTCTCTGGTCACTCGCTCCACTTCCTTAATTTGCCCTGTCTTTGCGGCTGCTTCGATGTACTTGAAGTGAATCTCCGGATCCTCACTGCAGTACAGCGAGAGGCAAACACATGAAAGTCAGACGCCAAAAAATCCATATGATCTATCCAGCTCACGGAAGAAAAACTATAACATCTTCGGGATAACAATTAGCATCTGTTACATCAAGGATACTAATACCCGCGCAAACCATTGTTAAATAATGCGCAACAAATCCCAACTACCTATGTGAACACTAAGCACACGCACTCACCTCAAACTCAAAGAAGATCCAAGGAAGAAATATAATCCTTCGTAGGACTTGAACTGCTCAAAAAGTTTGACACAGGAGTCGACTCCAAGCTGCTCAGAATACTCCTTAGCAACCTGTAAAAAGCGGTAGATGTCAGGGATATAATCATAATCACCAGGTACAAACTGTGATACTGATAAAAACACAAGGAAATGCACCGACCTGAACAATAATCTGCAAGTTGCCACGCATGTTGACAAGAAGAAGCTCCTTCATGCAATCAAGTGCCCAGTCTCGGGAAAGAGTTCCAAAAAACTCCACCAAGGCCTGCAACAAACAGTTTAGAAGTTTAAAGTCCAATTCCAGCACAAGTTAAGAGATGTTTTCATCGCCCAATCATTCTTTCCCTCCAGACTTTTAGACCTCAGACGAATGCTGGATGGACGAAGAGAAAGAGACGTAGGACAAGAGGGTATCCATACCTGAGGTTCAATGGCATGGGTGTTGATAACGACACGCTTGATATCAGTTAAATCTGAATAATGCTGCAAGGCAGAAAATAAAATTATCAGCGCCTGAAAGCCCTGGATGCTAGCGTTGGCGGACACACCACTTTTAATCTCGTGAAGCTTCGTCAAAAGAAAGCGGAAAGGATTGGCCTCTTTAAAAAGCTACATGAGAGAGATCACAAACCTGCAGAGCCCGCATATACAAACCGGCTTTTTCACAAAGCTGAGCAACACGAGGGCGGTCATAGTGACTAAACATTCCGTTGGCCAATATTGCGTCGGCAACATTCGGAAACGTGACAAGATTGATCTCCAAAACCTGCACAATTGAAAGAAAAGTCAGCCAGAGGATAATTACATTGAGACTAAGAATTCCATGATGATAACGTAAGATTTTCAATTATGGATAACTGAGTTTGGACAATTTACCTTGGTTTGAAGCATTCCATGCTCGGGCAAATTGGGTTTCAACACGTCGAGGAGGAACGACGTCGCTTCCCGAATCATGTTACGCTGCGTCCAGAAAACAAAATGAGCTGAAGAGTACTCTCCACTGTATAGTGCCCCACAATGACACACAAGTCACTGTTCCAGCAACGAAAGTACAACCTGGGAATACATGTTTTGTGGACTTACCTGAAGAAACAGATCCGTAATGACGTTGTAGTCCACAGGAGAGCCGCCTTCCATTTGGGACATCATCAAGGCAAAATTGACAGCAGCCTGGAATTTTGGCAAAATCCTCATAAGAATACGGGATATTCATTTTCAAGATTATTGAACACAAAGGACATTCAACTTCACAACCTTAGTAATCCACGAGGAGATGCGTTATTCATGCACTCGCAAGGTCTGACAAGTTAAAACAGAATCTAGCTTCAACCGCACGAAACGTGTGATAGGTTTGACACATACCGCAGGGTCTGTCCGCAAGATAGTTTGCAGTAAAAATAGGTAATCCGGATTGTAGCCGACCTATAATCAAAACGGTGCAAACTGAGTTATTCGAATAACATCCAGTGCTTCCAAACATCAAACGTAAAGAAAGAAAGGCGAAGGGCTTACAAATGCTGAACCTCACTATGAACATCTGAAATAGGCCCAAGATCACCACACTGATTCTGCCATCATCACTTTTCAACCATGTTGAGGTTCATTGTGAATATCAATACCTGCTTAGAGTAGATAAGAATCTTATCGAACTCCTTCCTTTCAGCAAAAGCAGCGACGACTTTAGGTGTTGCTCTAGCTTTAATGTATATCTTAAGAGCCATGTCGCTATCCACGGTCTGCAAAGTGATCCGGTTGTCAAGAAGTCAGTGACAAATCCATACACATTTCCCAATCAAGCACATGGAATAAGGAGGAATAGCAACCGAATAATCTTGATCTCACCTTTACGAGGTCTCCTAGTTCCTCACTACATTCCAGTTTATCTTCGGCCAACCAGTTCTCCAACAAATTCTTCTTATTTTGGTTCACGACCAGCCTTGAGAGCTCAAGCGATTCAAATGCGTTGAGCTTTCCCTTAGTAAGTAAGGTTCCAAAATACTGGAGTAGGGGTGACGTTTGCCCAGGTTGTATGGGTACACTCTGCGACCACAGTAGGCAGCGGATAAGGTACACAAATGAAGCGGGAAACGGACAACAAAAAACACAGAAATATGAAAAGAATCAAACTTCCTTCAACTAAATGTGTCCAATAAACGACAAATTCTTACCTGGAACTTGGCAACAGTGTCCGGTGTTCGGAGAATGCCTTGAGGAGACTCAGCAGCAAGTTCAGCAGCCTCCTTGTACTTCATCTGAGAGAAGAGCTCCTGGAATCGTTGTACAACCTGCCGCGTTTCATAAATTTACTGGTTAGTCAGGGCCATCGATAAGCGTTTGTCACACAATAGACTCACGTAATTTGCTCAAACGAAGACTACTAAAAGATTGCTCGAACTTTTCCTACTGCACTTAATAACTGCTTACCAGATTCTCAGCTCCTGGTAGATTTCCACGCTTGGCAAGGTTGACGGCAAGTTCCAGATTGTTCAACTGAACATAGTAAAATCAAACACGTTAGAGACATGGAACTCAGTGCGAAGTCTAATCTAAACACCGAAGGCAAACACAAGCTTTAAAAATGCAACCCAAAATTAGGAGAAAGAGGCTGTAATGTTGAAACAAACCTGAACACTAACGAAGGGCACAATGGTGGCCTCATTCACGGTGGCCAGTAAGACTTGTCCACGGCGATTGACCGCGTAAAATCCACCAACTGAAGGCGCATCTGCGGTCAAGAAGATGGGATCTGGACTAATGCGGTTTCTGTAAACTGCAGTGGCTGTTTCCAGATCGTATACAAACAAGAGTCCAAGCTTCGTAATGACGTAGATCAGCCCGTACTTTTGTGATATCTGCATGGCTACTGGAAAATCATCTGCAAAGTCTGGCGGGAAGAAAAGATCTGCCTGTTTCTTAGTGAACGCCACCTTTCCTGAAACGAGTATAAGAATGTGAACAAATTTAGGCGTTGAACCACACGATGAGAACGATAGAGCCGAACTCCGATACACGATACAGCAACAAATGACGAACATACATAGCAAGAATTCTTAGGTTCGACAGAAACTACGAGCTGTAGCTCAGCTAGATCCGGCTTTTTGTTACACCTCTTCTTGGCCACCGTTCACCTTAGCGAATCATGAATAGGAAGTCAGTATATCTTTCCATTCGGCAAAGGTAATACACGTCACTAACTACAGTGAGACGATGCTATTTATCTCAAATGACCGAGTTCTTCCTTAAAAGTCCACAGCCAACGTCCGTAAGAGGAAATGAGCAGGCTCCTTGGACAAACCTGGCTGAGGACCCAACTCTATGACATGAAGCTTTGAGGTCAATTGGCCGTTGATAACGGTCTTCGTGGCAAACGATATAAGTATTGAGGGAGTGTCATTTCCTGAGACCTGGAAGTAGTCAACAGAGGACAACATTCAGAACCAACGCAAGATTCGACGACGGTATTTAATCGAAACACTTCACTGATCATAAATAACATCGAACAGCGCACTACCTTAAATGTTGCAAAAGATGCGGCATGTGCTTCTAGTGCTTGACTTCGTTGCTGGTCAACTGAGAAGAGTTGCATATTTCCCTTCACAAGCTGGGGTCTCTGCGAAAGACAACGATCCAGACGGTTAATTCACCTCGAAAGTAGTCCGAGTATCAGAAACAAGATCTGTATACAAGGTAACAGACAAAAATGAGAGTCTCAAAAGTAGGAAACCCATCCCACTGTGCCACAATGTCAGCCAATCTCGTAATTAGATCCCTGTGTTCCCCAAGTAGGCCGAAACTGCTCCTTGTCTTTACATTTGGAGATATTTGTGAATAATGGTGTTCGTGATCTACTTTTCACCAGCTTCTCTCTAACCGTCCATGCGTATAAAGATATCCTGTAATGGGCTGCTTTGCTAGTCCAGCAATCCCTTTCCATCTGCTTAAATCCTCTTGGCTACGCTTCGTTTCCCCTTGAAAGTTCTGTAAATAACACGCTCTCTGTGGCCACTAAAGACCAAATGATTCCACTTGCGATTCAGCCCTTCACCACATCGTCTTCTCAAGTGACTAGAATAACAACTCCGGGGGCATTGGGCCCTTTGATGGTAGGAGATATATTCCTTCGATAGATATTTCGATCGAAGGATCGAAGGATCGAACTCACAAACGTATACTCTCCATAAAAAACTTTTATCATGCTCAGAAGTATCACCTCCTGTGCTAACGTTCGCAATACCAGTCAAGACAGAAAAATTGAAATTTCCATTACTCACTTCAGGTGCTCCAGGAGCAATGCCGATCAGAACAAGCCACTTCTCGGAGGGATCACATCTGTAGTTGATAATTTGGTTACTACTCAAATTGGCAGTTCTCTCAAACATCTTGACTGGCTCAGTTTCACCTGAAAAGAGGGAAAGAATCCAAGTTTCAGCTCGGAGGTACAAATTGGTATATTTCGAAAAAAAATAAACAATTCAGACCTACAGCGATTTTCACAATTTCTAAGGTGGTTCCTAAGGACAAACATGAGAATGAGAACAATATCGCGCATGAAAATACTGATTGCCTAGCCATAGGATAAATGATAACTTGTCATAGTAGAAAGAAAAAGCTTAGGATTTACCTTCAATAGACCAGTGAAACACAGCTGTTTGTGTAACAAGACCCAGAAGCTTGGGCGTGATCCACTTCCAGAAAACAACCTGCGGAGAAAACCAGCACTCATCATTTACTCGCTTGGATCTTATATTTCCGTCATGCGACAAATTCCTTCAAGGCGTAGTTCCTTCCATCGGAGAAACAAAGAAATTGACCGGCCACCATCCATGCAGGAATGCATCTCGGTAATGCAGGAGATATTCCTAATGGTGACCAACTTGGACGCACACTTCCTCATCCCCGATAAGCTTCTGACGGCGGGCATGAAGGAAGATGAGATCACAGAGCGTGCTCATCAAGCCAGATCCGATATCGATATGTGAACTACTCTTTCCTACTACGAGACAGATGGGACTGCCGCGCCATATCAGATCCGATGTGAAAATAAACGCATACCTGCTCTGGCATCTGATATGACTTGATCTTGGCCTTAAGCTCGATGTTGAAAATTTGCAAGTGGTCCTGGGTGGTTCCCGGACTTTGAGCTGCGATATTGCCACAAAGACGAGCATTTTATGGATACATCGTGCTTCGAAGGACAGTACACTAGGAGTAACAAACACTAGCTTTAAAACTCGTGCTGGTGAAGTTTCTAGGCGGTTCTTCGGAAGATCGCAGCTGCTGCCTAGTGGACTTTCAAGGTAACAAAACCTACTGAAACACACGAACCCGAGCCGGCATACATGACCACGCTATGTTTTCGCACCTTTTAGGGCAAGAACTTTGCTGTTCGGGTTCATGAGAGCAGAATCTGCAGTGATAGGCCGCCTCAGAGGCTGCAGTGGCATAGCAATGTCGATGATGACCACGCTGTTTTGAGGAGACGTCTCCCTCACGCAAATGTACTTATCAGACTCCATAGTCACATGGGTGAATGTGATGAAGTTTTGGTTGATCCCGAGGCTCGTCAACTGCAGGCATCAAACAAAACAAGACCACTCTCAGCACTATGCCATACCCTACAACCTCGGTATCCTGCCGATCAATCACAACATCGCGCCCGGACGGCAAAACCAGACCTACAGAGAGGATTGTAGTTCAGATCAGAGCAGAACGACCAAGCGCAGAACGAGGAGTAATGCCGGCGATGCGCGCTAATCGAACTCACCGTCAGAGCCTCCTTCATCGTGATGGGAGCATTAGCAGCTGCCATGGTTGCAAGGCAGCTGATCCCCGGCCGGAGCCCTCAAACTAGTGAAATCTGCCGGACTACTTCTTCTCCGGGATCAATCTAGCCCACTCGACACTTGTGCTTCTTCCGCCCCTGAGCTCGGCGCATTCGAGAGGCTCGACGCCAAGATGCGCGAGGTGTTGGCAGATGTCGGCACCTGCTCCCACAGAAGGGAAACACCAACGACTGACGACGACGACGACAACACCACGCCGCGAAGCGAAGAGGGAGCAGATCAGAGCTCGATCACGGATGCTCGATGCGAGGCAGATGGATGGAGCGAGTGCAAAAGATCTGACATCGCGGTTCGAGCGCAGCACAATCTCTCGCTCCTCGCTCCGTCCTCGGAGACGAAGAAGAAGAATGAGCAATTAGACCCTCTCGCCTTCGACTCTCGTTTCGGAACTCCTCACGACCCGCGACTTTCCCCTCATCATCTGCTCAATCCAATACGAACGCCCTATACATATTTCCCTCACAGCGCCCGTCCTCCACTCTCCTCTCTCTCTCTCTCTTGGCCCGCTCCCCTCCCCCTCCCTCACGAATTTCTCCAGCCGTACGCCGACGACTCCCATACGAAGCCATCAGCTCCCTTTCCCCTTCAGCCCCGACCCGCCCCGACCCGCCCCGACCCGACCCGACCCGCCGAGCCCCGCGATCCCGACCTCCTCACGACCTGCGCCTTCACCACGTCACCCGCTTCCACTCCACAGCTTATCTGAAACCCTGCCCGTTGGCCCGCGATCCGGGCCGGGTCGAGGGCATGCAGGGCGGCAACGCGAAGCCCCCGATCGAGCAAGAAAGCGCGCCCGGCCCGGCCTGCGATTGCGGTCGAGGGCGCGGCATTATTAGTGTAGGCCGACGACAGCCTCGCACATGTTCCTCCGCCCGGCTCTCCACCGAAGCGTCCTGTTCGTGCACTTGGCAGGGCGTCCGCTGCGTGCCCGTCTCTCGCTGCTCTTGCTCCACTTCCTGCCTGCCTGCCCTCCAATCGCCCCGCCATCCTGCACTGCTGCCAACTCGCGATCTCTCCGCTCGGACATTTTACTCTAAACAATTTCCGGTCGATTATTTCGTCCGGATTCACCTCTGTCTCCAACCAGTTACATCGCTGTTCCGATCGCTTTTGAGCGGACGTTCCTTAAAAAACTCCCCGCCTGCAAAGCACTTTCCCTCTTGCGTAATTTTGGAGATACAAATTTCGAGCAGTGACTTTCCTGCTCTTCCAAACGTGCTTTTAGATTTTCTCGAGCCCGGGGGGCATGGAGGTTTTCAAATTTGGTGAGTTTTTGCGACGGCGATCGATCTGCTCTCATTTATTAGGGGAAATGATTTCACCCTTCGCTCTTCACTCTGCGAGTGCCGGTAATTTACTCATCGTAGATCTACTTCTGGAAAGAGCGACCAGCGGGTGAGCTGTGGAATCGCGGGCCGAAGTTAGAGCGCAACAAATGTGACGGTCCGGATCAGCGGAAAGCTCAAACAAGACAGCTCATGGTCTTGCATCCCCGAAGGTTCTACCTTTAGGCCAAAGCTCGGTTTGCGAAAACTTTAATGCCGACCGAGAACGTTGGACGCTTGGGGAACATTGAGACGACGAACAAATTTATATCTGCCGCCGGCAGAAATCACTGCCAGAGGTACAAACAGCTTACCCTAGTAAATTCGTAAACATTTGATTCTTACTCTTTGTGACGTCCTTGTGGTCTAGCACATACAAACCAATCGCAAATTTTTCTTAAAACAAATGAGCTCAAATTATTACAAGACTTTAAAAAGTCTTATCAATATCACATCTTTGATTTTTTCATTCACAAGTAAGTATTTGATATTAAACTCCCTCGAAAACGGTTTTCCAAAGGAAATAGATGTCACCGGCAAATTCTATGAAAACACCGAGGCAACTTGGAATGACATCATTTTCGTGATGTCTGTCAAAACAATTTAGTCTAGAGCATCTTTCAATAGAATGTCTCATCTTTCCCGAAGATTTTTCAGGAATATATGAATCAACTTGCAGTCAGTTCGTGAGCAGATAGGGGAATAAAACTCTGTGTGAATTAGAACTTGGCGCCGTGAACTTCTTCTTTGCGTTGTGGCTACATTGCCCAAAATCAGGGGAGACAAGTCACGATCGCTTGTCTACTTGGGTAGATACTATTCCTCTCCTTTTCATTACTTTATATCACTGATCCTTTTGTAATGACCTGAAAAGCTTGACCTGGCTGAAAGGTGTAAAAGCCGTGAGCTCTATAGGACTGGATTATAAACCTTGGGAGCGTACAAGTTCCCCTTGTGTATGACTAGAGACCGGGTCAGATGTGCTTTCCTCAACGCAGAAACATAGACAGGCTTACGAAATGGATTCGGAAGTTTTGTCATAGATGACAAATTCAGGGTGCACTTACCAGTTTGTTCGCGACCAATTCTTCTTCACCTCTTGGCCACTTTGCCGGCTATAGTCAGCGATACAATCGTTAACAAGCTTCTATGTCTATCCTCCTTTATCAAACTATTCGCGAATTGTCGTACGTAGTGAATTTGGATGAAGCGTAGTTGACGAAGCGTATTGTTCATAAGATTACTTTGATATACAGTCGTTGCTACTTGTATTGTGTCGCAAGTTCGGGGTGTTGTCACAAGCACTCAACAGTCAATCTTTACCATTACATTGCACATCTTCCTGCGTGGGTTTTTGTTTCATTCTCACACATCGTACAATCTCCTGCTTGGGTTTCTGTTTCTTTCTCACACATCGTACAATCTCCTGCTTGGGTTTCTGTTTCTTTCTCACACATCGGACAACCTCCTTTTCGTTATCTCCATAATCTTCAACTTTGAGTATGCCGCTAGTTGAGAGTACTTGAGAATGATGTGCATTATTCAGTTCAGAAAGATGTAATGAGCATGATTGTCGTATAGTATGCACGGTCACCTAACTCGATATTCAAAGTATTCTCTTCTCACACATAATAGATCACTTTGCGACAATTTCCGTCAATAGTCCACCACAAGTGCCACACACTTCCTCATCGAGTTCAAACAAAACATTATTCATAACTCATGGTCTCTTCAATCAAATGTGAATACCAATCCTACATTGGCTAAAGAATCAAAGTGCATTTCCATAGTGCACTTCCGAACACGACACACATTTCAGCTACAACCATCCACCTGAAAGACACATCCCTACGACTTATATTTACAGTGGCACAAAACAAGATGGGATGAATTTTCACCGACGATTTCAATTTACAATTACTGCAGTGGATACATTGACCAAAACCTGGCTGTAAGACGGTATGAAACTTCGGTCCGTACTTTCAATTCCGTTAGCAGCCACAAAAGAATGGCTGCAGTAACTGCCATTTTCTCTCAAATGTGTGTTGGTCATTGCTACATCACCTCCAATCCTCCAGAGGGCACGCCTCAAAATCCCTTCCGTACACCACCAGATCAGGAACTCAGTCGAGGTTGAACATTCAATATTGAAAGAAAACGTCACTATGCATGCTCCTGGTTCCTGGCCTCTTCCCATAACAGTCTGTCTGATCCTTCCGTCATGCTATACTTTTTCTCCGGAACTCAGTCCCTGGGTTGACCAAATAATCTCCAGAGAACTTTTCAGATTTCCCTTTCTTCAAAAATTGCTTGAACACAAATGATGGTAACACATGTACATAAATGCCCAACTGGCATAGATGACGTTGTAAAATTGAGTGGAACTCAAGTCAATGGACATAGCTGACACCTCAACCAGCACTCAATTCCGGCTGAAAGAGCTAGTCTTGGTCGCCCAGCATAGTTACTCTACAAAAACGCTGCAGATTTCACAGTGTCCACTTTGACAACACGTCCGAAATCTTTCACAAAAAGCTGATGCCCAGGAATAAGAGAAACCTTTCCTGAAGATTCCAAAGAATATGAGAGAGCTTTTTGCCTCCCCCGACATGCACAAGAGACAGAGGAGAGATACAGGTAAGGATTTGACAATTCTAATTCCTAAAGGTTCTGCCAAGGAGTTGGACGTTTGTCTTCCTCAGTGAGATCCATTTTGCACCTCGAACCACGGCTGTGATAGTTGAGTACATGAAGTGGATGCATTCAGACCTTCCCCGCCGTATGATGCTCTGTTCAACACGGTATATTGATTGCTCACTATTTCCCACACACTTCGCGCGAACTTGTCCCTTGCCTGTAATGTGCGAAACAGTCGGTGAATCAGTTTTGTCCTTTTAACAGAAAGTAATTTGAAAACCAGTAAGGAGACTTCCGACACTAAGCACACCTCAACGAAGAGTCCGGACTAATAAATATGATCCAAATTAGATTTACAAGCTGTCAGTGACACGGGCAGACAGTTCCTTGGCACTTACTTCCTCCTTGGAGGTGGTCCCAGCCGTCAATTCTTCAAAGTTCAGCTTTGGTGCTACCGCCAGACCTACTCCATGGTATCCGATCAACCTCCTCTCTCCAAGTTCCTTTTCAACCTGCATCGTGAAGACCAGAATCAGAAGAGAAGACACAGAAAATTATATCTCCAAAGTAAATCACTGGCTTGGCCAAACTCTCATGAATGCAAAGATAGGGAAAAATATTACTGCCACTTTGTGCATCCTACCTTGCGAGGAGGTGGCATTATGTCGTGACACAGCAGAGCCATAGGATACATGTGACCGGGAACAGGCATGTGAGATAGCAATCTTCGCATGTTCTCGACAGCAGAGGCATCAAATGGGGCCTGTCAAGGGAGCACATGGTCAAAACAATGTGTGAGGAGTTGAATACGTATGGGCTTCGAGCCAGATTCCGGTGTAGGGTCCTCACACGAAGTCAGAACCAGTTCATCACGTGCTTCTGTGCGTGAAAATGAAATGTAAAGACAAGTCATAGCTCGTGTAACAAATATCTAAAGGATCAAGTTCTCCCGCAAACCAATACGCAACAATTAAATGAAACCAACAGTACTGAAGAGAGTCTGAAAGCAAGTCAGGGTTTTCTGAACGCACAGGTCTCCACTCGTTGGTTTCGGGGTCCGGGCGATCCCGACCTCCACTTGGCGCAATCCAGATCAATTGACCACCTTTCCTGTAGGACAACTTCTTTCGATGATCAGGAATTGCAATCAAACTTCGCCCGTTTGTTTCTCCTCCTAAGACAGGACGCTGCTTGTTGTTACATTGAATGAGGCCACTTACTTTAGCAGGGCTGTCATTTCTTTCAAAGTTCGTGTGTTAGCCCTCTGCTTCATGTCCGTCAACTCTGGGATATCGTTGATATGTTTCTTAGAGTAGACACACAGCAGGTTCCTGGGAAAAAAAAAAGATCAGCTTCTTCGCGTGTAATCAGTGCACACAGTTTGCCTTTTCAAATAAGTATGCAGTTAAAATTAGGCGAGCTGGCAAAAGGAAGAGACATAGAAATATCTCTGGCCGATTGTGAAGCTTCCTGCCGTTCGGCAGTAGGCAACATTGTGGCAGCGCATACTCTCTAAGTCCAAAAGTTCCGAAAAGAAAAGAGCAAAGAAACTACCTGCCCATGCTGAAGGGTTTGCAGAAAGGATCGAGGACGACTCTATCGCCGGCAATGTAAGTCTGAAAAAATAATGAAAAACATCACCAGCGTTATTTAAACCATGAGTTTGCACATCTAAGGAAAAACTAAACATTCTAAAAGCACTACGATGTGCAGTCATGATACGCATCAAGGTGCAAGATATTACCAGATTTTCTGCCAGGTAAGGGTGAGACGTCTCGAGTAACAGTGCCATTACTGCGGGGTCCGCTTCAGTTTGATGATTGGCAAATAGAAACACGTTATGACCCTGCTAACAATACAACACTAAGATATAAGGACTGAGTGCGGAGGCGAACATGACGATACGAAACGTATATTAATTGGGAACCTCAGCCGCTTGATACTAGCCTTTGCCCAATGTCAACGGAGGGCGAAACATCTTACATATGGCACCTTCAACTTTGCTCGGACAATCTTGCGCAATTGACCATCATCGCACACGAGTTGGTAGAACACGTTTGTACAAATTATTAAACAAGTTCCTTTGATCTTGATCAGAAGGCAAACTGTCTATTCGTCAACAATATTAAGTTCAGATTCCCACCTGTTTAAGCTGACTCTCAATATCATCAAAAATAGTGGTATTCCCCAAGAAAGAGTTTCTGCGTTTGAGCGTAAAAGTTAGTATTGTAACGTGAAACATAGACTAATTCCGAAGAGTTTGTAGATTCCAGTTCATAACATAAAAAACTGGACAAGGAAATTTAGAACGTTATGTCTTAGAAATTTGAACAAACCTGAAGTCTAACAAAGGCCTGATGTAGTTTTGGCCAAACGTGTAGTAATCGTAAGGCTCCACCATGCGCTTGTGGTATGAAGAAAATGTAAAAGGATCCTAAAAAGACAAGACAATAATAAAAATTGGCAGTCAGTGAGGGAAGATTCTACAAGTACAGCGTGCTTCCCTCCAGCGCATAAATCGTTTTACTGTCGTCTTACAATCGTAGTTTCGAACAATTTACAATTGCAGATAAAATGTATACAATGAGGGCGTACGAATAGAAACCTCGAATTGCAGGAGAATGCGGTCTAAAACAGTTGCCATAATTCTCACGGCGATCTCCATTGAGTTTTCCACGCCACTTCCAACTACCTGATCAAGGCAAAAACTTTGTTAGAGCTCGAATTCGAAAGCACAAAACAAACCAAGCTAAAATCTTTAGAGCGCAGACGAAACTTAGAATGATACTTTCAGTGATATAGTGAAATACTTTCAATGATGTACTAGTGGTACTTTCAGTGATATTCATGATACTTTCAGTGCTTTACTTACAGAAAACAACGTTCAATCTACACAAATTCTAAAATCAACACCAGGCGAGTGTTTTGGGAGACCTCCACTCACCGCGTCCCTGTAATTGTAGTATAGTTCTAACATGCCCGCAGTGGCCCTTGGGTCCAACGACTTGGCCTGTGATTCGTATCTTACAGCACTCAGGAGTTCTGTCACAGCGATTGTCCAATTAGAGCCTGACGCTTGACAAAAGCCAAGACCGACAAAAAATCTCGACCTCCATTCTCAGTCTGTAGGGAGCCCGACTGTCCAGTCGATAAGAAACCATATCTCACAACAGTAGGCCTTCACGAACATACCCGACCTTGAGGATAATCTTCTATTCAAACATCCGGAGATCTTCCCGGTGCCCGCAGGCAGAGCTTCCTAATAATTGAGGCTTCAAGAACAACCCCGTTTGATATATCAGCTTGACCGTTCCAGGTAAATCCCAGGCGACGACAGTAGTTTAAAAATTTGCGTACCTTCCTCGCTGGTGACGCCTTGGAAAGTTCTGGTCTGAGGATGAGACTCGTTCGCTGAACACACAGCGGTAGCGGAGTTTTGAACATCGGCGTTAGTGCCATGTTCGAGTCGCAAGGCGGTTCCTGAGGTCTCTGCAAGCTCTGTGATTGCGTTCACTCGCACGTTCTTTGGGTGGCTTGATTCCGAACTGCCCCCGGACCAGGGAAGCTCTTTAGCTCTGCAGGAGCACTTAAGGGAAAAAGATGTAGGAGCACAGGCTGTTGGGTATGTGACATGAAAGCTGGAAACTGCAATCGGTTGTTTGTGACCTGGTTGTGAACACAGTCCAGGGGCGCGGGCCAAGCCAGCCCCGGCAGCCGCTTGGAACAAAGCCGCTGCCATCACCTCGTCTGACTCGCAAGCGCTATCAGCCCAGAACTGCTACGAAGCTCTGTGATAGGGTATGCGAGAGAGAAAGAGCGAGCGGCAACGCAGATGAATCTGTGTATACGAGGCACAGTGAGCCTAGAGCATGTTCATTGATCTCATTTCCACCTCGGGCGGATGGTCCGACTTGGCTTGGCAGGCAGTCAGAGGCGGGCGGAGTGTCGACCGGTGCGCGTTAAACAGCACACATGGTTTCTCCCAACACCATACAGGAAGAGAAGCGGAATCAATCAGTGGACATCTGACGAGCTTCGCAAACAAGTCGAGGCCACCGCACCCAAGTGTACATCACCTCGAGAAGGCTTCGAAATCTGAGGAGGCTTCCTGTACACGAGAATGTGAGTGGACGTCGGTTCGTGGTAAAAGTGGAATGAATGAGATGGTCGAGCACTGGGCACCAAAACCGGGACAGACTAAGGACGGACGGGGGCACAGCAGGAGGATTATAATGATAGGCGAGAGGCGAGTGGCGAGGGGGAGGGGGGCTGGGGGGGAAGATGGGGAAGGGACAAGCCAGAGATAGATAAAAGGAGCAGCAACCTCGGCGTACCAACAAAAACGAACCAACGCAAAGCACAAGTGGAAATGATGTGGTTCAGTGGTGCGGGAGGATTTCGGACGCACACACACACGCAGCTATCATCAGCTGGCCGCTCACCGCAAGGAATATCGGATACCGCACATCACTTCATCAATCTCTGCTCTCATCATCTGCCCAATGCCCCACCTCATCTCCCCCCCACCGCTCCCCGAACCTCTAAAATCCCCCACCGCGCCCCGACAACACACCATGAGACCTACCGCCAAAGGAGGAAAAGGCTGCAAAGGCCTCCTCCTCGCCCCACACTCTCCCTCTCTCTCTCTCTCTCTCTCTCTCTCTCTCTGCTTCTCTCGTCTTCTACTTCGTCTGATCTACAATCGTTTCCGGGTCACAGGAACCAGCACCAGATGGTCGCAGAGGCCCGCATTCCCTTAAGCCCAGCACCGAATTCTCGTCGCATTCCTCGAGCTGCGGCATTCGGTCTCTCGGCGCTTTCTTGTCCCGAAACAGCACACCGTCGACCTCCTTCGCACGCGACGCCCGCAACGTGGCAAGTCAACGAGTGTACGATCTACGATCCGAGGGCGCCGACCGACCTCGTCCTCCGTCCTCCGTCCTCGGTCACCCCCACGGACGTGTGCTCGTTAGGGCCAGGTCACGGAAAATACTGCCAAAGATCCCGTCCAACTTCCTCCGATATCGTCCTGCGGTCCCATAACCGGTGTCCACCTCTCCCCCCGTCTCGAGAAATCTCGCCCTCGCTCGTCCCCTTTGGCGGTCGCCCTTGTTTCGTGCCCGTGATCGCTTGTCTACAAGGAAGCCGACGTGTCTGTTTCTGCCGTGTAAAAACTCCGCTGCTCGTTTCACCGTTCTCGGGATGAAGACATGTCAACGTCGATTATCCATGTCAGCATGCGGGCGCCCAATCGCGCCGACCGGTGGATAAAGACACCGCTCGCCATATCAGCATCTATATCCAACTCATGTTTTTCCTCACCGGCAGCCTGCCACATCGGCTCAGCAGGTCTGTTGAACACTCTTATCTAACGAGCAGCTGATATTTTGCCACGTGGCAATCGAGGGGCGTACCAGCAGGGAGCCGATTGGTTTGCGCGCCCGGAAAGGTCCTGCCACAACTGAAGGTAAGGAACGGTAGCCCCACATTGGGTTACAGTTTCCCGGTATGATAGGTTCAGGTGACCGGATAAGAAAAGCACCGCAGGAAATATGCGGTGAGCTAAATCCGTGGACTCCATTGGTCCCAGCATGCTTACGTACACATCCAAAATTCCTCCAAATGTGGAGCTATATTTGTGCTACGAATCTAAAAGATATTGATTTCAGCTGAACTGGGTAATGTGCGCACCGATTACAGTGAGCTCCTCGGTGAAAATGAAAGTGCCCAACTCAGAATACAAATTTGTTTTTTGTGTCTTCTCCCAACCACTGCACAAGATTCACTAGACCGTAGCGGTGACGGGCTAAAAGTGTATAAGCATGCGCACGAGCCTTATGACCATGCTTTATGTGTGATAAACATGTTCCCGACTTACAAACATCGACCGGGCGACTTCGATTCACACCAACAAAATACAAAAGACATGGGAGACTCACAAACTAGCAAAAGGTGTTTCCTAACGCATGAGGCGGTAACATGTAACACACTGCTCAAGTGGAAAGTCTTGTCTTTGTTTATTATCAAACTACTGAACTTGTGTATTCGAAAATTCTTTTCTGAAGAAAATCACGAGAGAGGTTACATTGTATATCATACTATTGAGCACACAATAACATGGTGTGCACGCTTTTTACACATATTCATTTACTTAGCTCTTTCAAAATAAATGATTGAATCCTTTGACTTGAGTAAAGGTACATTATTAGATATTTATACTCCAAAGTGCAGCTTCGTACTGTTCATTATGTTGGTAAATTCATTATAAAATTTCATGTTTCCCTGTATTCATGAAATCAGAAATTTCATAATTACTTCGTGATTATCATTCTCCAATATTGAATTTAATATTTTTTGGATATCAATTTGATTCGTCATATTCTTCTTGCCGTTGAACTAAATGCAGCTTGAACTTTTTCTTTTACATCCACCACATAATTAAAATAATTACTGGCAAACAAGATCCCAAACTAACTTTGTAAAAACACGAATATATATTTACTATCTTTTTGAAAAAGATAGTAAATCTAAATAAGTAAATAAGAAAAACTACACTGTCGTTTCTGTTGCAAGACACGGACGATTTTCGATTTTCCTCATACCATCTTCCCAGATGCAATAATTCATGGAGACTCTGTTTATCAATCAATGTGGCCTTGGTCAAAGCAAAACTCATTGAACTGACTTCTACGTGAACTGGTTTTCGTCAACATTGAGGCTTTCACAATCTTCCCAGTGATGCACACCAAAAGGTCTGAAACTTGTCCCATCATCAGAGTGGTTGTTGGGCACACGAACTTGAAGCTGAGATAATACAAATCAAAGGCTTCCACCTTTGATTTGTGACGAATATCCACAATGATAATTCTCTTTTGCATTATTTTGTTCGCATTGAGTACTTATACCGAGAATTCGCGTATGCACATCTTGAATAGTTTCATAGATTATAAGAAAAATTTAGTATACTTCATCTCAAAATTTACATATTTTCATTGCAGATTCTTTAGAAAATCATACCATATATATAAAAAGATTTCATATCTGTGTGCATGTTTTACCGTAATAAAAAATCAAAAAACAGTCACGTAATGTACACATTTCATACGTCATAGTTAATAATAGTTACATTAAAGTATTTATAAATTTCTCCAGAAAATAACATATTGTTTCATACTGTATAATGGACATAATCACTGCATATCAATTTCTTATTACCAATTAGATGACTAATTTATTTTTTATCGATACATATCAGTGGACTATTATCATATTTACTTACTTTCAACAGAATGATTGTTTTTTTCAACTCTTTCAAGTTTTAAAATTTTTGAAATCTTGGAATACCCAAGAAAATCATCCTTAGAGAATGGAAAGTAAATTCCACTAAAATTTATTAGAGAATTTAAAACATATTGTGGAAAATACGTTTTAAAGTAAAAAAAATTAAGATATCAATAATAAATTTTTCTATCGGTTAACATAGTTTTCAGGAAATCGTTATTTAAATGATTGACATTTTGTGCTTATTAAGTTTTATCTTAAATAAAATAAAATCATCTTATACACTTGAAATTCGGATCTCAGTTGAAAATACATGAAAGAAGCTTTAAGTATTATCTTTAATGCTTTTTCTAAGATTTTTTTTCTTGCTGTATATTAAAAATGTATATATTATAAATATCATTTCATCCATTTAAATTTCAACTAGGTTTTTCGCCACTTATTTTTAATTTTAAACTAATTGGGGAAAATATCCGATAAAAATCTACAGAAATTATTTCGAAGCAATGAAATGTACATATGACCAAGATAATGTTTTTGAAACAAAAAATACTTCTGAATAATAACAAGTATCACACATAGAAGAGACAGCATAAATATCTACGGTGGGATAAGCGAAACGCATAAGAGCTTTCTGTTTCGCGACAAAATCTATCTTCCAACTGTAAAGCCATTCCAGGAATTATATAAAATCAACTAACTGCCGAAGAAGCAAACTTAAGCGGCTGTACTCTTCGTAAATCGAAGGAACGTTTGGAAAAAGTACAAGCGTGATAATAAAATTTGTAACTTAATAAGAACAAACATAAATTCCATATCCTTGTGTCACCACTTTGTTTTGAATTCGGAGAAATATTTTATACTTCTCAAAACATGTTTACGAAAGCATTCTTACTTCAAAATATGGTAAGAGAATTCACACTGATTTTTTTCATTTTTAGCAGTGCAAAATTTTGTATACCAGAATATGAGAGATCATACTTCTTTTCTATATATGAGGTTTAATGATTCTCATTAGATCTAGGAAAGCTGATTCATCACGTGTTTTAAATTGAATCTAGCAGGAATTATATCAAAGATATTTTATTGCATGTTTTTGGATTTTGATAAAAAAATAGAGAAATAATATTATGTATATTCATTTTTTAGAATTAATTTTCGTATTTTTATTTTTTATAAAATAATTATAATTTTTGAATCAAAAATTGAACTTGATTCATCTTCAGACTTCGGAAAGAAAATTATACAATAAATCATTTGAATAATGCGTTTCTTTCAAAGTTCCAACGGATAATCGAATTAGTAAGAAAATTATTTGACTTATGGAAGTCAAAATCCCAAATTTCTTAGGTAGCATCATATATCAAAGAAATATAATCAATAGGAAATAAGAAAAACTTATTTGAAATTCATTATGACTTAATTTGTTCAGTTTTTTTTACTTGATGAGTTTTTTCAATTTCAAACGTTTCATCCAAAATATGATATGTTCTGATCTTTACGTCTAATCACAAGATTGGTAATGTTATTTTCAGTACTCTACTTATATTAGAAGACATTTTTGATATGATATAAATGTGTAAACAATAATATTAAAAAACGAATCATCTAAAATTTTTAGTTTCAGTTTTTATTTAATTAAAATTTTATATCACATTCATTTTATAATCAAATAAATATGTATTCAATAAAATAACTTTCTTCATGCAATAAATTGAATCAAATATCATTGAGAATATAGTTTTATTTCTAATATTTATATTGAGATTCAAATAATAATTGTAAGTTTTTGAAAAAATTTAAGTCTTTCAAACATTAAGAGTAATGTTTAAAATTATTTTTTAAGTAATAATGATTTTTTTTCACATGCACACATTCAAAAATTTGTTTTATCTTGTGAATGCATTTGAAGATACATATTTATGTTTTGATAGTAGTTACATATCTTTTGACTTTTTTATCTAGCTCATTCAATACTTAGAAATATCTTTTATGTGATGTGTAGCTGCATAATTGCGCTAGTACATTCATGGATTTTTTTAATGTAGAGTTCATGTAAACTTAAACTAGATATGCCGAAATGTACATTAGATATATTTTTACTCCACTACTTCTAAATTGTTGTTGCATCTCAAAAGATGCATAGTTAAAATTATTATTTTTAATGAAGTTATTTTATCTTTGTCATATGAGATTTTACGTCTATTGAGTTTATTCAAATTATAATATTTGTTGATTTTGATTGATTTATCAATTATTTTAATTTATTTTTAAAAAAGCCATTTGTCAATCCAACAAGACATAGTATTTGTTATATATATTTTTTATGATGTATTCAATGTACAAGATGTAACTCTTTGACATATATTTTATGAAGAAATGTCCATCTAGATTTGCACATGTATATCAATTTATCTTATTAATAAAAAA